GTGATACTCAAGGTACCGCAAGAGCTGGCTGTTAATAATGGATTCCATTATTTTAGAGAACATGGAGGTGATGGTGATAGGCCTATAGTTGGACTGATCAGAGCGGTTACCTTTTTTAGGGATGGGATGCACGAAGGCTATCCTCCATGATTTTGGAACTACGCCTAGGCATACCGGAATAGACGCGTTGAAACCAGTGTCAACTCCGGAGCACACGTCTTTAGTACAATTGAAGGGACTCCATCAGGCCCACTCAACTTGTTGACGTCCAGGGAGAGGAGTACTCTGCGCGTTTGGTAAACAGCACATCCTATCATCCACTTTATCAGATAAATATACTCCTATATTTATCTAATGAAGTCATAAACCGATATAATTATGTGACTATGATGAGGATAAATGGATACAATAGTTTCCACGGAAACAAATAGTTTCTAAAGGCGTTTTCCAAAGTACATACTTATGTTTTACACTGAAACTGAAACTCTAAAAGTTATATTTTTGTCTATGGTTTGTGAAATTAAATGCAGTAAGTGATTTTATGGTCAAATTGTGGAGGGTAGAAGTAAGGAGTAGTAGTAAGGAGTAAGGACAAGATGAAAAAGGATCCAGCTGTAAGCTGTAAATAACAGTTCAAAAACCTTCCATAACGGCGCTAACGTAGATACAGGGTACGAATGTAGCAGTTGTAGATGGATAGAAGAGTGCCCAGTTAAAAAAAATTGTGTGATTAGAGCAGTTAGTTACAGTACACGGTTACAGTACAGTACATGAAACTATTCACGTAGTCCAAAAATATTTGATATTATAACCTAAAATAACTGCAGTGAGAAAACGTGGAGAAAGATTTAATTTTTGTAAACTTCTTATATAAACTTTTTTTAAATAGTCGAAATTAATGTTTAAATATAAAAATGTTTTTTACTCTGTGTAGAGCCCCATTTACTTTATTTCCTGCATTCACTCGTCGTTCAATATCCTTATCATTTCTCCCATACCTTCTGAATACACATCCCAAGTATACAAATTCATCTACTTGCTCGACCATCTCCCCTTTTATTCTTATTTCACATACCGTTTTACTTTCTTCTCTTTCAAGAACCATAAATTTCGTCTTACTTGCGTTCATTTTCATTCCCCTTTCTTTTAATGACCTGTTGATTAATGTAACCATCATTTGCAACTCAGACGCCTACGACGCAAGTATGACTTGATCATTGGCGTACAAAAAGCATTTGACGGTTAACTCATCCATTCCTAACCGGCATTATTCAACTTTCAAATTTTCCAAACAATTGTCCATAAAAAGGCTGGACAGCCATGGGGAAGCTACACAGCCCTGTCTGACACCTTTATGGATGCCAAACCAGTCCGAGTAGACCCCATTGATCCTGACACCAGCACTAGAGTCCCTAGAGTGCCTAGTGACCTTAAAAAAGAGAAAAGAGACCTTAATGCTTGTATCAACCCAGCGCTCAACCTAAATGAGTTCAGCATTTACCATAACACATCCCTATACACTCTGTTATAGGCCTTTTCCAAGTCCATGAACGCACAAAATACTTTTTGGTTTTTCGCCAAAAACTTCTCCGTGATCATGCGTATGGAAGACTTGATCTGTACACCCCATTCCCTTTCTAAATCCCTCTTGCACATCCCAAATTTTCCCATCAATTTCTTTCATAACTCTTTCAATTAGTACCTACTTTAGCATACAGTTTTCTCACAATGCTGCGGTAAATTGCACGGTAGTTTTTACAGTCCTGCTGCGACCCTTTTCCCTTATATTTTTTCCCTTATTGGGACTATCACGGCTTTGCATCATTCTCCCGGTACCCGCTTTAGTTCCCAACATAAATTAAATAAGGTGTACGGCAGGCCCGCCACCACTTCCTCTCCAGCCCTTAGCATTTCGAGTGAAACTCTATCATATCCGGCTGCCTTACCTACTTTCATGCTTTTCATTGCTTTTATTATTTCATCTATACTTATCTCCCTATCTCTTTTATCTTCTATCGTTCTATTTCATTTAGTTTACACGTCTCCTCACTCATAAATATGCTTTCAAAATATTCCTTCCATCTCTATAGACTCAACATTTCATCATTCAGAATACAGTCATTCTTGTCTCGTATCGCATTCAATCTAAGCTGTTTTGAATGTTCCCTGGTATTTCTTACGAATTTCCAGAACATTTTAATATTTGCCTGGAAGTTATCCGATATTCTTCTATCATTCTTATCCGTTCTTTTTTGCTTTTTCCTTTCAACTAATTGTTTTACTGTCTTATTTAGACGTTTAAACACCGCCTTTTTTGTTTCAATCTCAGCATTCATACCGCCAGAATAGCCGCTTTGGTTGCTAGTAAATCTAGCCATGCTCTCTTCTTTGCTTTAACATCCATACGTACCTCATCATCCCACCACAACGTATTGTCTTTTCTTTCATTCGTTCTCTTACTAACACCACATACTTCGGTAACTGCATCCACTAAACCTTTCTTAACGTTATGCCACACATTCTCCAAGTCTAACTCATTCACACACAATTCGTCCAGATCACTTATATTTTCTCTCAGTTTACATTTGTACTTGTCTTTCACATCTTAATCTTGTAACCTCTCAATTCTTATATGATGTAACGCAGTGGTAGACACAGATGTCCGATTCTGCCAACGTCTGAATAAACCCCTAATTCGGCATAACACCGGGTAGTGGCCCGTCCCTACGTTTGCCCGACCCTTGTATCCACCACTGCGCTCCTCATTCTATCGTCCACAGTTATGAAATCTATCATGCTTATTGGCATTTTTCATATAAAAATATCCTCTTTCCCACGTACACATATGAATCTTCTTATGACGAAAAAAAGTGTTCGTCACAAAAAGATTCTTTTCCACACATACGGTGAGGATGCTTGACACCATTCTCATTTCTACTTTCATCACCAAACGTTCCCAATATCCTTTCACAGCCAAGCCTCACCCCAATCCTACCATTAAAATCTCCTAACATAACAATATTTTCATTTTCCTTACATTTCATTAACACCATCCTTACTATCTCCCAAACACCCCGCGACAGCCCGTTTTAATTGAGACAACTTAGCGATCGCAGCGCCTCACTTATTTTGTGCATATTTCTGGGACACTATATTCAACAGCGATAGTTCTCTTGTTCTCCTACCTCCATGAATAATATGTAAAGGGTTCTCTTTGGTTGGCAGTTAGCAGCACTTGTCAGGTAGTTTTGGGGGAACTTGGGGCGTAGACGGATTGTCGCTCCTGTTTTGTCGCTTAAATAATGGTTTGAAGTGGATTTTGATTTGTAAAAGTGATGCGATTTTGTGAATTAAGTGTCCGTGCTTGAAAACGAAACAAGTGCTTTGATGTCGATATAAACCCATAGTTATTTTGATCGCTTGGGCGCTTCATGAACTTGAGTGGCTGTCGTCATCAACTGTCCGCTGGATTGAGCTGTTGTCGAAATCTCCCAAGGGTTTCGCAATGTGACGCATCAGCATATTGTGAAGAAAAAGCATAAGCATAATAAAAATAGATTCCGAAAGAAATGACAGGCTCAGAAGGGCTAGAACCCAGAGCCGTAAAGCCAGTTTAATAAAAAACACTTGTCAGCTGCGCTGACAGCTGATCAGCTGTTACTGTTAGCAAAAGTCGTGAGTGAAATGCACAGAGTACCTTTGTATAAACTGAAATAGAGACCAATCTTCGACCTATAAAATGGCAATGCATAACTAGCGCCTCTGGTATCCAAAGTTAGCAACTTTATTGTAATATCTATAAATATAAGCTTATATATACGCACACGCCGTTTATATATATATATATATATGTAGCACCTACGTATAAATATTATTGTTCTCATCATAGATATTAATAATTAAAATCAAAATAAATAAAACTAACATTATATTTACAGGATTTATTAAAAAACAGCACACAAATACAATAATAGTTATGACAATAATAAATATCAGTACATTTATTCAACTTAAATATAGCAATTAATGAACAGCCTAAAACAAAGATAAGAACTAAATTTAAAACATTAAATAATGTAAATCTGCCCTCAACTTCTTATATTATAATATGTATTTAAAATGCGTCAAGAATAAAATTGAGATCGTTTGCAATTGAAATAAATTTGAAACCAATTGCTAAAACAATTCTACATTATTGCTCCATTAAATTGAGACGAAGATACTCGGCCGAATATGCGGCTAAATCACCGAATATTCGTTTAAATGGTACTAAAAATGTCCACTTGAATTGTACGAATTGAGTAATGTCATGTCTTTCATAATTTTACTATTGAAAGTATATTTTATTTATGGGTTAAGTCTACTTGAAATGTTATGTTTTCGAGGTACTTTAGATTTATTTCCGATTATAGCAAATAGAAAGTTTGATAAAATGTTTTTGGAATCAAACAAAGAAAACATTAAATTAAATTAGTACTTACTTAATAATTGGTTAGTTACAGAGGTGATCCCGTTGAATAATGTTCGGCCGAATATTCTGTTCGGTAAAAGTTTTACTGAACTTTCGGCCGAATATTCGTATTCGGTGACAACCATATTCGGCCTATATCAAATTAAAATCAAATCCAATCTTGAATATTTGTTTTTCTTAATCTTTTTAATTATTAAATTGAAATGATAGTAAAATTTAGGTCCTTTGGAATTGCGGCGATTTATAATTTTTGAAATGAATTTTAAACCAATTGCCAATCAAATAAGCAATTCTGCATATTGCTCCATTAAAATCGAATCGAATATTGACAAAAACAAATATTCAAGCAATAATATTTATATAATAATGAATATTTGAAAACAAATATTAAAGCAGTATGCTAGCAATGAAGACGTCTTAAACTCACATTATATAATGACTTATATCAAATAATTTAAAGCTCAAAATAAGTTATGCTTCTTTGCATTATTTCTAACACTTTTTTGAATAAAATATGTAATACAAAAAATTATGCGCTGTATGCCCTGTAGTGTAATAAGTCGTGACGGCGTAAGAGAACTGCCATTAACCGAGTCGAAAATATTATCCATAAAAGCAGCAGATCAGCATCTTCGTACTCTTCTCGAAGGATACCCTTTGTCTTTTTCTTGTCTCCCAATGCTCCTCCTTAAAATTAGAAATTAAAAAAAAATTATCAACCAGTTTTGTTTAAAAAACGAAAGAAAAGAAACAATTATTACAACACCCCACAAACATCATTAAGTATTTATAAGTGGTTGCGAATTGACTTTCCCGAATCTAATAATTTTAAATTTATTGACCAATAATTTAATGTAAATTTTGGTACCTATCTAAATTCTTTAAATTTGTTATTTTACGTTCATGCACAAAATAGTTCATAGGGTGCACTTTAATGCCATAGGGAATTCTATCAGTCAACTATTAAGCTAAACAGAGGAACATATAAGAGGTGGTGGAGCAATAATCAAGAAGGGCTTTTTTATAGGATAGGGTGACAAACGAGCACACAGTCCACCTGATGGTAAGTGGTTGCTGTGGCCCATAGACATCCACATCTATCCTCGATTACAAATAAAAATGCAGACGCGTTGTCACCCGTGAGGACTAAGATGAAATGCCTCGTTTCCAGTAAAAAGGGTCTCCGGTTCTCTACACTCACCATACGAAACAGTAGCATTAAGCTACTATTTTACGCTGGTATTCTGTGAGAGCGTGGTCCTTCCTGGACTACTGATATAACTGCAGCATGGCTCTACCACGTAAAAAAGGGCTGATAAAATACTAGCAATGATATTATCATTACTAATATTCCCCTTAACCACCAGCTTAAAATGCTTGTGCTAGGGACGGTTCACGAGAGTAATCGAATAGCGGACTCGATTTCACGACCTTTTGAGCTCGCGGCCCGTACCCTGCCATTAGGCTAACGTAATGATACCAATGATTTCAAAATGAAGGATTCTTCATACAAAAAAAAGTAGCGCATCTGTCATAATACAAACGTTATAACACGACGTAACCAGGGTCGGATTTCGTAGTATAATTATCCTATTTATACCATTATTTCATAATGTGCAGTATGCAGTATCTTAATAATACTAGGCAAATTGCAATTCGTGATCGCACATGTGTAAACATTGTTTATGAGTCTTATCCTATCCATTTTTACCAGAAGCTTGATGACGGCAGCAGCTTCTCTCAGTTTGTGTGTCGAAATGAAAACAGAATTTTAAAATATTTTATGAATACGATGTTCAGTTTCAATTATGTAGGTATCGTTTCTTTTGTGTTCTTTTCGTTTTACCCTTACTGAATATAAAACATATTAGGTATTAGGTAAGTTCTTAAGACAAAAATAAAACAGAAATAATAATAAAACCAAAAATCAAAACATATAAAATCACTAGCCACGTGACGTCAAAAATTTGGCAAAAAAAAAAACAATAAAACGTCAAACTTGGTATAATTTTGGACAAATAGTATAACTTTATTTTCCCTGTACAAAATTAATTAAATTACACACTTCTGTAATTATCTTCCATGTTCATTTTGTATTTCTTTGATTTTTTATTAATTTATTTTTATAATATTCTTTTTTTCAGATTTTTAATAATTTTGTTACACATGTTTCTCATATAAGTACTTAATCTTTAGTTCTTCATTATCCGGTAACTTTTTAGTTTTCATATGTAGTTTATCTCTTTTCCTTACATATAAATATTATCTATGTCAGAACAAATATGAAATATATATCATATTATCAAATATTAAATATAAATAGTTATCATCTCTCAATCAAAATAAATCATACCTAAAAACATTTCAGCCCTTTTCTTTATAACTACAGGATTAGTTGATATCACAGGATCTTGCATTGGAGTAACTGGATCTGAAACATTAGTTAATTTTCTTTCAGCAACATGCTTCACTTTTATAACTATTCCTTTGCTACTTTATATCATTGTAATACTTTTAGCCATGATTTTACACAGGCGTTTGTGACAAATGAGCACACAATCAAACTGATGGTAATTTGATGCTGTACCTATAGATATCTACATTTAAATTCAATTAAAAATTAAAATGCAGATGCGTTGCCACCCCTGAAGACTATGATAGAATACCTCATTTCCAGTAAAACCTAAACACCATACAAAACTCACCCGCATTAAGCAGCGTGGCTCTACCACATATAAGTTATAAGAACTTCATTAAAAACATTGAATTATAATTACAATCATAGAAACACATTAAATATACAAAGTAATTCAAAATTTTTGCATTATAAAAAAAGTTTATATCTTATGTTCAAGAGCCGTGGTAGCTCAGATGGTTAGAGCTCGCTGTAAATTTCACAATACGCGAGCAAACCGAGTTCGATCCCCGCCGGCACCAATGAAATTGTTAATTGCAATTTTAAGTGCTGATTTACCACGTGCTCGGCGGTGAAGAAAAACATCATGATGAAACCTGCATGTCTGAGATATAAAAAAAAATTATTTCGAAGGCATGTGAAGTTCGCCAACACGATTTATTTCGACGCATATTACGACGCATTGGGGCAGCGCGGCGGACTATTTCCTGCCCTAAAACCCTCTCAGAAATGAGTGGAGGCCTGTGCCCAGCAGTGGGACGTATATAGGCTGTAACTTTACTTTACTTTTTATGTTCATTAAATTGAAACTGTTAAAAAATGGCATCATAAGTCAGACTAACCAAGATTTTCTTTGTGAGAAGTATTTCCTTCCATTTTTGTGTATAATCGATGTACCGAACGTTCAGAGTAATGACCTGAAATGAAATTCATAAATCAATATCAAAAGAAGACAAGGAAAGATTTAAAGAAATAACCAAACTAAATATATCACTGTAGGTTAGGAGAAATGGGTGTTTCTCAGTGGATTGAATAGTAAATCCCACGACAATGTAGTGTTAAGTTTAGAGTATGTTTCCTCTCATTACCATCTTTACCAACATTACACGGCGACCCTGCCAGACAATGCGCTGCGACAATGCAAGTGCACTGTCGCAGTCTGAATAATTATTAAACTGTTAAATAAAAAAAAAAGAATTTAACTGTAATTTACTGGAATTGACACAATTATACTGGATATGATGAAAAGAAAATTAAGAGAGACCACATTCACAATCTAGCTTGTACACACCTGCATCTTGTAGAGGAATATAACATTTGATGGATGGTAAAAATTGATCAATCTTCTTCGGCGGCTTGTAATTTTTTAATGAAAGCTCCCTTCAAGATGTAACCAACCTTGTCTGTGACACCTCCGAAATACGGCAGTACAGCAGGCGGGCGCTCGACTGTGGCCGGCTTCACTCGGCGCGGGACCCGAAGCTTGTTTGTCTTGCAACACTTGCTTGACATGCTGAAGCTCGGCGGCCATATGTTTTCTGTCACAGATCCCACGTGCTCTCTGAAACAAATATTTACACACGGTAGCTAACTTTTGGTAATTAAAAATAAGTTAAAATAGTTGATTAAACGCGATAAAATCCGTATATATAGTTTTTATTCAATGTGTAGTGTTCGCGTAAATTTAAGAAATCATTATGCTTCTTTGTATTATTTCTAACACATTTTTTTAAATAAAATAAATATTAGAAATAATAATGTGCTGTATTTTACTCTGTAATGTAATGACGGCGTAAGAGAATTCACTACTCAATATCATCCTGTGCATAGATTACTGTATATATGCTAGAGATTCCGTGTGTCGTAAGAAGCGACAGAGATAAACTAAAACATGAGATGTGTAGCAGCCTCTTCAGAAAAAAAACGCTGCGGTTGCCAACCCGCCTGTTATACTGACAAATATTCCCATAATATCACCAATCTTTAGCAATGGACTTACGATTATAAAATGTGCTTAAAAATAAATTGATTAATATTGTAATAATGCATTCTTTTCATAGTATCTAACCTATTTAGCAATGATATATCTGCTTATTATAAAAAATGTAAAAAAAATTATGATTCTTTATTCTTACTTTTATAACTCGGTAGTTCAATTAAAGCGTATCTATTATTACAAATCATTGATTAGTTTAAAACGAACGAATAAATAAAATTTGTAACAATAATTAAATATTTAACTCTTTTTGGTAAAAACAAGAGTAATTATTTCTTTCTTTTAAAAAGTTTACTTCTTAACTTTTTGGCTTTAATTTGGAAAAAGTTCTCATCATCATCTACTTCTTTTCTCCCAGTCAATATTCTATTAATATTTTTACAACTATTAAAAATCAGACAACGTATCACAATATTAATCAAATAATCAACTAATTTATTTTTATGCACATTACATTTCATAAAATCAAAATCAATTAAAGTATATATGCTTGTTTTTATAATTTCTTTTAGCTGATCATTTTCAAAATTGTCTTTTGAAATATGATTAATTATATCCTGCATATTTGAAATTGATTGAATCAAATCATTACTGGGAGTACAAAGCCATCGTCTACCCGCATATTCTCTGTATTTTATGTATTCTATTTCTTCTTCAGAAGTAAGGTCATATTTACAGTTAACACAATGTTTAAAAACTTGAGTTTTTGCTTTTTTTAAGAAATATCCACTAACATATTGTAATGGCGCAATTATACGGGGGTTGTTTAGTTTCAATGTAATTGGTGTGAAGTTTATTTCTAAAATTTTTGTGAAATCAAAAGTGCAGGTTGACGATGCCTCTGAGTTTTCATTAACGATGAGAGTATGCAAGGCATTACAATAATCGAGCTCGCAGTTTTTACCATGAGTGGACACTAGTTAAATTATTAATCAAAAGTGTAGTAAAAGCTGACTCAAATTGGTCACAAGTTGGATTAATATTGCGGCACCCATGGCTTCTAACCGCACCAAAGAAATTTTCCAGTGGGTCCTGATTTAGATGACGCAACCACACTGATGTAATACCATGATCAATTTCCAATTTTTTTAATAAAACTTCGATCCCTTCTAGTGTCCACACCCAATTTGTCACAGTTGGAATAGATTCTTCCCTCCCAGTGGAAGATATAAATTTCATAGACGCAAAAACTTTTTTGGCATCCATCCATGTTTTGTGATGTATGGAGTGAGGTGTTGCAGCTCCAAGTAGAGGTTTAGCATGTCTTTTCTTTTTAAAACTGCCATTAATTGAGTCGAAAATATTATCCATGAAAAGCAGCAGATCAGCCGTGTCTTTGCACTCTTCTGGAAGTATGCCCTTATCTGTGAAACAAATGTTCATTTGGATTAACAAGAACAATAAAACATTCATACAAGATATATGAACTAAATACATTGACTATACCTGCTAGGTATCCCATATTTGATGATACAGTGCGACTGAAAATCTGTGAAGCATATTTGACTTTCATTTTGTTTAATTTTTTTAATTAATATGGGCTTCTGTTAGTTTTGGAATTAGTCGTATTCCTTTATACCCCGGATCTTCTTTGTATAAAAGTTGCAAATGAGACCATTTGGCGGTTTTGGTCACGCCATCTACGGTGAAATTTAAATTTTTGGTTAATAAATTATTTCTTATGCCTTTAAGAAGATGTGGAGGGTCATACAGAGGAATAATCTCAGTATTATTTATCAACATAATATTATCTTTAGGAGTTTCCCCTCTTCTCAAATAATTACCCCTAGTTTCATTCATCAAAAGTTTTATAGCCTGTCTATTATTTGTGCCTTGGTCGCATACTGTAGCCACCACAATTAATCCTGCTTTTTGTATCTCTGTTATTACTTCTTTTATTTGATTCGCTAATTCTGGTCCTTTTGTTGCACTTGACGAAAACGTATAAGACACAGCTTGTTTATAATTGTGGATCAGCCCACGAATCATGAAAACTTGGGCATGATCTGCATACTCTGGCTTTCGTTGCTGTCCATTATCAACAAACCCTATTACTTTATTTTTTCTCTCATTAAATGTAACATGAGCTTTCAACATCATTTCATCAAATAACAGAATACATAATTTTTGTTCTGTGTTCATAGTTTGTGCTTTATTTTTTAACTGGGAAAAAATATTTTTATTAAGTCCTGGTTGGAGATTACTCCTCTGTATGAGTTTAATGAGAGTTTGAGGGGCAGGCAAAATAAATATTTTTCTAAAAAACCGATATCCTTTGGGGCTTTGCTTGAATATTGACAAAGCAGCAATCTTCTCTGGTAGGGTAAATCGTCGTCCTTTTTCTTGTTTCTTATTTTCTCGCCACTGTAACTGCATTAAAATTTTCGCAGTACTGGAACAATTGTCTAAAACTTTTAAAACTGCAGGATTTGTTGCAAACTTTTTTGCTGCTTTTATTTGAGCTTTCTGTTTCGCAATTATATTTTTCATTTTACTGATTTTTATTTTAGATGCTATAATTTGCTTAAGCAGCTCTTTTTCAACCTTGGTCTGAAATACCCTTTTGGTCTTTTTCTTGACTGCTAATGTTCCTCCTTAAAAATTAGAAATAAATAAATATATCAACTGGTTTTGTTTAAGAAAGAAACATTTATTGCAACACGCCACAAACATCATTAAGTATTTATTAGTTGTGTTGCAAATTGACCTTCTTGAATCAAATATTTTTAAATTTAGTGACCAATACTTTAATGGCAATTTTTGTACCTATTTTCTAATGTAAAAAAAAGTAAAGTTACAGCCTATATATACGTCCCACTGCTGGGCTCTGGCCTCCCCTCATTTCTGAGAGGGTTTAGGGCAAGGAAGTGTCCGCCGCGCTGCCCAAATGCGTGTTGACGAACTTCACATGTCTTCGAAATATTTTTTTTTCTTATTCCTCAGACATGCAGGTTTCTTCACGATGTTTTCCTTCACCGCCGAGCACGTGGTAAATCAGCACTTAAAATTGCAATTAACAATTTCATTGGTGCCGGCGGGGATCGAACCCGAGTTACTCCACTGAGCACCACAACAGCGTTAACCACTGAGCTACCACGGCTCTGGCTCTTGTCTAATGTAAATTCTTTAAATTAGTTAGGTATTTATTTTACGTTCATGCACAAAATAGTTCATATGGCGGATACCGGATTACAAACGCAAAAAAAATAATACAAATAAATATTAAATATTATCTGTCAGAACAAATATCAAATATGATATATAAATATCTCTCTAACTCTCAATCAAAATAAACCATACCTAAAACCATTTCAGCCCTTTTCTTTATAACTACAGGATTTGTTGATATCACAGGTGCTTGCATCGCAGTAACCGGATCTGAAAAATTAGTTAATTTTCTTTCACTTCTATAATTATTCCTTTGCTACTTTATATTAATGTAATAGTTTAGCCACGATTTTACACAGGCGCTTGTGACAAATGAGCACACAATCGACCTGATGGTAAGTGGATGTTGTAGCCCATAGACATCTACATTTATCCTTAATTAAAAAATCAAAATGCAATGTCGTTGTCAAATTGTTGTTGTGCGTAGGACTAAGATGGAATGCCTCATTTCCAGTAAAAAAAGGGGACTCCTGGGATGATAATATCTCATGTAATAGTTCGATCCTATACCTATCAATTTTGTAAACGCGTCCTTAAAAATCTTGATTATGAAGATGTAGAAAACATGTTAAATGGTTTATGGTAAACACACACACACACACACACACACAAACACGCACTCAGGCGAATACCTTGTCGTTGTCGAGTTATTCGTCAAAAAAGTCGTTTATTTCGACCATAAGGATCATAGATGTTAGTAATAATACAAATCTTAAAACTAATTTTAGTTAAACTTGAAACTATTAACTTAATTTTAAAACTATTTATTTAAAACTATATTTAAGACAGGTCCAATTAGTCAGCACGTACACCATATGACAATGGTTCAGGTAATGACCTCAAACCTGTCAGAAAATACCCTCAGGATACCATTAGAACTGGCCCGCACCCTACGCACCAGGGATGTGCATCGTTTACGCATGGTGGTGTAGAAACAATCCACACGCGCATCCGCAAACAAACCCGGCGCATTACAGTAACGAGGCAGACCCAACAGCACCCTGAATGCTTTATTGTATTGAACATGCATTTAATCTGTAGCTTGTACCGCCAAAGATACGAAACGGCAACGTCGCGGCTGCTTTCAGCCAATCCGATCGTTTGTCTTATCATTTTCTGTGCTCTGATTGGCTCATTTAAATCGGATCAACATTTTCCGTAACCATCGCAAGGTGGATTTGTATATCGGATCAACTTCGGCAAACAACACACACACACACATATATATATATATATATATATATATATATATATATATATATATATATATATATATATATATATATATTTGTATTATAATAAAAGTTTATATCTTATGTTCAATAAATTGAAACTGTTAATAAATGCCATCAAAATTCTGACTGACCAAGATTTTCTTTGTGAGATGTATTTCCTTCCATTTTTGTATGTAATTGATGTACCGAGCATTCAGAGTAATGATCTGAAACGAAATTCATAATTCAAAAGAAGAAAAGATTTAAAGAACCAAAATAAATATATCACTAGGGGTTAGGAGAAATGGGTGTTTCTCAGTGGATTGAGTGTAACTCCCACAACAATACAGTGTTAAGTTTAGAATATGAGTTGTTTAATTAAAGTAATAGACGAATCAATGTGTCTCCTCTCGTTAACATCTTTACCAACATTACATGGCGACCCTGCCAGGCAATGCGCTGCAAATATTCAAGTGCACAGTCACAGCTGCATAGTTATTTAATTGTTAAATTGAAAAAGAATTTAACTGTAATTTACTTTGTGCAGTATACAGGTTATTGTTTAAAGAGTAGCTAAATTTTAAATTAAGTTCAAATATATAAATGATAAACCATTATTGCAGTTTTTGTAAATATGAGCAAGTAAGGCTTCTAATTTTATTTGCATCTATCCCAAATTGAACGTGATTTATGGGACACCATGTTTTTGTCTACAGATTGACCCTTATAAATGAGTGCGTGCACAGTAATATCAGTTAAAATAATGCATTACCACGCTTTTTGAATTTAAAAGATAAAAACAGAGGGGTGTTATAAATTAAACATTTGTATCTGTGTGTCCGTCTAAAGCATCATAGTGGCCAAACAGATGGAATATAATTTAGCTTTTTTTGTTGACAGGTGACTTGATCAAGAGATAAGCCGTTCAGCCATCTGAAGGCAATCATCTCTTTTATTAGTTTTGAGGTTTATTAAAATTTTATTAAAGTTATTTAACATGTACATAAGTTTTATAAATTTTATGTTAGATTATTCCATTATATTTGTAGAGATTTTATTGTGTTTAATTTTATGGATTTTTAGTTATCATATAACAATATATAGTATATATTTTAGACTCTTAGTTAAGTCAATCCAAATTTAGGAACTTCTGTATCATCTCAACCCTTTCTACTGGAAACTTCTTTCTTTTTTTTAGTTAAATAAATTAACATTTTTTCATATGTATATTAAGTCCCCTTGAAAAGGTCACATACTATGTTCAGCTGTGGACTTGTGATGTGCTGTAATCATGATAATACATATATGATCATATATATCAGTACCTGTTGATGTTGACGGTTCTGCTAGGTTCAAAATTTCTTTCATGGGTTTTCTTTTCATAACTGCTGGTTTATTTGATAATGTAGCTAAAAGAAAATAATAGGATTAACTTTGAAATTATTTATATATATGGCAATAAAAAACAGGCCCAGTATCTGTGATGACTTGCAAAAAGTATAATTTCACAATATAATAATAATATATAACATTATTTAATGAAAAAAGTAGAAAAAGTGGGGTGATAAAACATTGCCAACTTAACATTTATGAAAACTAGGCTTAATTATCATATCCTCATCCTTCTGTCAACCGGAATCGCTACATGTATTATCCTTTTTAAGCTCTATAGTGCATATAAGTAGTATTTCATTTTATTCTATTTATTTAATGAATGAATCATTGTAAAAATTAATGCTATGTAGGTACCTACTCAATTAGACATATTTTACAACAAAACTATACATGTCATTGATAATATACTGTCCTGAATAATTCTATAACATATTTACTTTTTCTGTAATCTATAAAGACAAACCTGGCATATTCAAAGTTGGCACAGCAATGTTACTAATTCTGTTATTTCTGCATTGAAATTTTTCTTCAAAATGTGAGTGACACACACGGCGATACTTGAATATGTGCATATTTTCGAGGCCTAGTATATCACCGCCAATTGCATAAATCCATACCCTAAGTCGTTCACTTTCCTTTTCTGGGTTTGGAAATCTGTGAAGAACTAGCCTGCCTAAAATATTTACAAGATACATTTAAAAAAGTCATACTTATGTGTTAAAGCCTAAAACAAATAATGCCCTTGATGCAAGTTGTTTGGAGACGAGATGACTTACCCTTACTGTCCTTACATCCGGGGACACAGCAACGCTTATCTGACATAATTATTTAAATTATTTATTCTATGTAACAATGGAGACAAGATATCACAAAAAACAAATCGTTGGAAATGAAGTTGTAAGAATAATAGGTAGCTCAATTCAACGTAAATAATATAATAGATAAAATAAAACAAAAAAAAATAACATAAAAACACTTTCATAAAATAGGAGCAACTCCACCAAATAAAATAAAATATTAGTTATTCGCAACTCCAATATCGAGAAACAAGTAGCGGGAAACGTGAATAATAAAACTAATCCATAATGGCAGGTTGTTGTGCTGCCAGATTCAGTTTCAAAAAAATATCAAAAACATCTAGTTACTGGATTTCTTAATGAATAGTTTTACGAAAGCATATGTAAGCAGTATTTATTTATAAGAAAATTTCAAAAATTTTCATTACAGATTTTATATTAATGTTAAACAAAAGCAAATATCTTAATTTCTGTTACACTTATTTTCTACTAAATAGAACTATTTTTTTTAAAGATTTTGTAAAGCTACCTGATAGATGAGACATACTAGATGTCGCCACTACCTATGTAGTGGCGACATCTAGTATGTGATGAACGAATTATTCGCTTGAAATTTCGAACAGTGTCACCTATTATTGTAAGTTGGAATAAATACGATTTTATAATACGACTAAAATAAAAAGTAGTCAATAGATATGGTTTTAAATAGTTTACTAAGTGCGTCTTAATTTTGCATAATAGCATTTCGTAGGTTTCCAAGTTTTATGTTCTAAGATTGTAGAGCCTGGTGAAATGTTTTCATTTTCAATTTCATGATGATTAAATAATCGGTTTTGTTTAGTAGTATAAATTAATTGTTGACTATAGTGAGATTACAAAATAATTATTCAAATTTCTACTTCTATCACATGTTTTTGTTATTATGAATGGTATGTTTTCATTAATATTTTTGTATTTAGTAAAATTTTAACATATTGTACTGTGAAACGTTTGGTTAAAATATGCAATTACCAAATTACTTTTATAATAATCTTCAAAAAACTAGTGCATCTCTAAAAACAATAAGATCCCAATATATAGCCGAAAGACCTTTTAATTTATAGATTGAACTTTTATGGTGGTCACTTGTTTACGAATGACATTACCTTGGCAGTAAATTTGAATAGTTTCTTTTTATCTTTGATGTTTTTATGTATCATTTTCTTTTCTGTATCAAAACTGTATGAGTATAAGTTACTGAATAAATGCATGTCTGTGTCCATGCTGGACACTAAGACATGCAAGAACATTTTTGTAATTAGTTGCTATGTAGTATAACAATTGCTGTTAGGGAGGTTCATGGCTGGCAGCCACTCTTCCTGTAAATTCTGAAGTGTATAATTACATTTTCTTAACATCTTATATCATATTTTATAACTGTCATTTTTCATATAAGAATAATATCAAATCCATAGTCAAGATTCGAAACAGACAAAAGACTATCTGATACATTGTTTTTTATAATATACGTGGGACAAACGAGCACACAGTCCACCTGATGGTAAGTGGTTGCTGTGGCCCATAGACTTATACATCCATCGTAAATTACAATTTATCAAAATGCAGATGTGTTGGCACCCATAAGGACTAAAATAGAATGCCTCGTTTCCAGTAAAGTGGGTCTCAGGTTCTCTACAATCGTCATATGAAACACAGCAGCATTGAGTTGCTATTTCACATTGGTATTCTGTGAAAGCATGGTCCTTCCCCGGTTGAACCGACCCATTCATGCTACAACTATATCAGTAATATAACTGCAGCATGGCGTTCTAAGGCAAAAAATTTAACAATATTATATAACATTAAATAGCGGGAAATAGAGTAATGGGGCCCTGCACTCTATTATGAAGAGTCAAAATGTGTCGAAAAAGGCACATATGGCAATTCACAGTGCTGTGTTGGTCCCTACTTTAACGTATGGTAGTGAAAGTTGGGTGTGGCAGAAGAAGCACGAGAGTAGTATGAATGCAGTAGAAATGCGGTCATTAAGGAGTATGTTAGGGCTGAATCTGAATGACAGGGTAAGAAATTGTGTAATAAGAGAAGAGTGTGGTTTGCAAGATGATGTTGTGACCAGGATTAAGAAAGGAATGCTTCGGTGGTTTGGTCATGTGGAAAGAATGAATGAGGAAAGAATGACAAAGAAAATTTGTGTTGCAGAAGTGAATGGCAGAGTCGGAAAGGGACGTCCTAGGCGAAAATTTATCGACCAAATTGGCGATTTATTGAAAACGGGCCAAATTAGGAGTACCCTTAACCGACGAGCATGTATGCGTAGGTGTATGGATGTGAAGGAGACGAGAGAGGTGTGTCAGGATCGTGCCAAATGGAAGTCTGTAGTCTCTGCCTACCCCTCTGGGTGACAGGTGTGAGTGTTTATATATGTTTTATATTAAACAATAAATAAATAAATAACTGTTACTTTAGCACCTCCCGTCTTCCAGATGCAAGTCAACAATCTAGCAGTCTATGTTAAAATTGAGATTGTCTTCACTGCAGTACTGAGCAGCCCGGGATGCATAAGTCTATATAAATTGTTTCTGTATGTGTAGCCATTTGTAATAGAACCTTAAAAATCTGGTAGTCAAATTTTTTTAATAGAATAAGAGAAACATACGAGCACACAGTCCACCAGATGGTAAGTAGATGATGCCTGTAGACATCTACATCTATCCTTTAAAATGTAAATGCGTTGCCACACCTTAAGACTATGATGAAATGCCTCGTTTTCAGTAAAAAGGGTCTCTGGTTCTCTACACTCTCCATACGATACACAGCAGCATTGAGCTACTATTTTACGCTGGTATTCTTTGAGAGCATGAACCTATCCCGGTCGAGGCGACCCATTCGCGCTACAAACATAGTTTAGTTTACGACGGGCTGTTTTCCGCAACTCCACGTCTAAGCGCGTATTTTGCGTGTGGGCAGGAATAATATGCTTATTCGAGCCATGATATCTCCCCAAAGAAGCTCAGCAGTCCCTTGATGTTGCAAGCAACTTCGGGGAGCGATCCCGGCGTGCCGAGATGTTTAGCCCTGTATGAAGCGACTTCTGGACATGTCAGCAACACGTGAGCCGCCGTTTTTTCCTCTCCCATGCATGCCCTGCGCAGGGGGCTGTCAGCAACACCTATGGTGAACAAATGTTTGTTAAAAGAGCCATGTCCTGTGATAGCATTTTTTACTATCCTGATCTGTGGCTTGTTCAGTCTCATTAGAACCTTGGTTAGACTACTGTTTATTTCAGGTAGGGCCTTCCTAGCTTGTCTACAGTCTACTAAATTTTTCCAAAACTGAGCGTGTAAATTATTGAAGTATCTACGTACCAGTGAACGAACATAGCCAAAGGGGATTAGTATTATTGGTTCCGGCCCTATAGTTGCTAGGGCCGATCCCCTTCTGGCCAGTTCATCTGCTGCATCGTTGCCTCTAGATCCCTTGAGTCACATTGTTGTGCTTACATACCTCATTCAATCGTTAAGGGCACTCGTATATCAGTCCCGAGTTCGTCACATTGCAACTCAGAGCTTGTAGAACCGCCATACTGTCGGTCAGTATTCTGATGGAGAAATCTGTCACCTTCCTAGCATCTATTGCTATGGCCGCTTGGATGATACCCATGCATTCAGCCTGGAAGACTATGTTGTGGGTACCCAGCAGTGTGCATATGTGGATATTAATGTCTTCAGAGAAAGCCTCAGACCCCAACACCTTCATTTGTCTTAGAGCCATCCGTGAAAACTTTGAGCTCTCTTGAACCCAATCCTTCCAGATGGTCAGTTTCCTTCAATTGTATCCTGTACTTCTTATCAAATACAAATTGTTTTGGGATCCTATCATACTTGGCTTGTAAGATAGGAATTTTTGAGTAAATTCTATCGATTATATCTGTATGGGGGACTCTACTCTTACTTAAAAGATTTAGGGTCTTGAGTCTAATGGCAGCTAAAGTTGATTCTTGTTATATATTTAGATGAAGCGGTGTTAGCTCCAGCATAGCCTCCAAAGCTGCTGTTGGTGTAGTCCTTATGCAGCCCGTGGCAGCCATACAAGCTAATCTCTGGTAACGCTGTAGCTTTTGTATAGTGGTGGCTTCATTGATTTTGGTCCACCATACCAGAGAGCCGTACGTGATCATGGGCCGAATTACCGTTTTGTACAGCCACAGTATAATTTTTGGCATTAAACCCCATCGTTTGCCAATCGTGTTTCTGCATTGCCAGAAAGTTAAACTAGCTTTGCTGATTTTCTTTTCTATGTGTTTGTTCTAGTTAAGTTTACTGTCCAAGGTAAGACCTAAATAAGCCGTCAGGTCCTGCTGCCTTATAGGGTTGGAAATTATGAATGGCCCAATGGATATTGTCCATCGTCACCATTCTTTGTGCTAATTCCCAGCTCTTTTGTTGGTGTCAGTGCATCTTCATGCCGGTTCACCCTTTCAACTACACAGTAACCTGGGAAGTGAGTATCAATTAGGATGCATTGGGTTTCATCCGGCGATGTTGAGTAGCTTCCGTCGGGTTTCTTTAAAGAGATAGATCCCGGCGTGTTCTGTTTAGCTAGGATTTTCCTTATTCGATTTGCTTGCTACAAACATAATAAAGCTACAGCATGGCTTTACCACATAGAACTCAAAGAGTTGTTTTTTACAGATGGCTCTATTTATGAAGCAAGACTTCACACCACCTGTGCTCTCTAGAAGATGGATTGCCATTAAGTTGAGGCCAAATATGGTAAGTTTAATTTTAGTTTTTAACCTACTTCAAAAAGGAGGAGGTACTCAATTCAACTGTATGTTTATTTGTGTTACCTCAGAACATTTTTCTAGGTAAACCAATTTTGATTATTCTTTTTTTATTTGAAAACGGGTGCTTTTTGTGTGATCCCATATAAGTTTGATCTGACCATTAGTTTTTGAGTTATCCTTATTAATGCATATTTAATTGACTTTGAATACATTGATGACATATAACATAAACACTCACGCCTGTCACCCAGAGGGGTAGGCAGAGACTACAGACTTCCATTAGGCACGATCCTGACACACCTCTCTCACCTCCTTCACATCCATATACCTACGCATACATGCTCGTCGGTTAAGGGTGCTCCTAATTTGGTCCGTTTTCAATAAATCCCCAATTTGGTCGATAAATTTTCGCCTAGGACGTCCCTTTCCGACTCTGCCGTTCACTTCTGCAACATAAATTTTCTTTGTCATTCTTTCCTCATCTCATTCATTCTTTCCACATGACCAAACCACCGAAGCAAAAAAATATTACTTTCTTAATCCTGGTCACAACATTATCTTCTTGATGTCATATTCACATTCACATCACATTGATGATCCCACTTTATTGTTTATATATGAACTGGGCAGAAAGAGAGAGGAACATAATTTTTTTATCAACTTAAATTACTGCTATTGACCTGGAAAAACCTTCGTTTTAAGAACAACCAGTAAACCCTGCTTAACCTCTCAACCCCCTAGCAGTCTCATAAGACCGCGGCCATATTCCGTCAAATCCCTAGCGGTCTCATGAGGTCGCACCCACCCACAGCACTTTAACCCATAAAAACTTATATATAGAGACTACTTTTCTATGAAGAAGTTTGGCATTATATAATCAATATGAAATACTCTATCCTCTAGTGCAATTAAAAAAACTGTTAGCCTATAAATATTTATTTATAATCTACGTTCATTTTGTACGCCATTTTCGCGTGAATGTTATTGTTTTGATTTTTGAATTTTTCTAGTGTTTTATTAGTGTTTTAGTATTTTTATTATAAAATTGTAATGAAAGGTTGTGTGAACATAATTTATCTTTTTACGTAAATAATTACGAGTAATATATAGAAATAATTGTGATTTTCATGCTACCAACATTCGCTTGATATGTTTTTTTTTTTTGTTATCAAAATACAATAAAATATTTTTGTAATGAAGTAATACCAGATTTTTGTTTAGACCACAAATAGAGAATTTTGTATAGATTTTATAATGCCAAACTTCTTCATAGAAAAGTAGTCTCTAAATATAAGTTTTAATGGTTTTAAGTGCTGTGGGTGGGTGAGGTTGCATTCGACCGCTCGGGATTTGCCAGGCGCATGCGATTGCATGGGATTTTTATGGCGCTTGAGGGTTAATGCATGATTGATTGACTTTGAATACATTGATGCGGTCCCAATTTTCTTTTTATTGGAGTCAGTTGTGCTAAATTTTTAATTTTATCACTTGTCACTCTGATGAACTGGGCAGAAAGAGAGAGGAACATAATTTTTTTATCAACATAAATGACTAAATAATACTTGTTAAGTCACCTTTTTACTTCTACTATTAGTATGGAAAAACGTTTGTTTTAAAAGCAACCAGTAAACCCTGCTGAAAACAATTATTTCGTTATTTGTTTAAAACGTCACTTTAAAAGGGGCTTGGAAGAAAACTTTGTATTGTTTGTTAGGGTTATTATGAACCAGGTATATATATGCATAGACTGCCTCGTTGGTACTAGTGGTTGTAGTAGTGCGACTGTCAATCATGAGGTCCTGGGTTCGAATCCCGGGTCGGGCCAAAAATTAAATTATTGAGTTTTTCTGTCAAGAAATTCTCAGTAGTTGCCCGGAGTCAGGAAGTTGGCGGTATTTCACCCCGGTGCCTCGGAAAGCACGTAAAGCCGTTAGCCCTGCGCCTGATCTCTCTCCGGTCGTGTCGGTTTACCGTCCCATCGGATTATGAGAGTGAGGGAATAGAGAGTGCACCTGCGCTTGCGCATACACTTGGGCACTATAATCCTGTCCTGCGCCGATGGCTAGCCTCCGTTGAGGCAGGCCGCCGTGACCGAAATTCGGTCTGGAGGACATTATTATGAACCATGTATTCATTAATAATTTTTTAAAAACAAAAGCTAATATTGTTCGTATGAAACAGATATTTTGATATAAAAATTAAATGGTAATTGGATAGATGGACCGAAAATAACCAATATTTATTTATTTAACAATTTATGTACACACGAAGCAATGTTACAATGAAAAATAAAAAGATATTTTGTACAAAGGCACTGCTTATTTCATATTGAAATTTCTTCCAGCAGGCCTGATACTGGACAGATTCTAAGAGAAGCAGATTTAATGTGCACTCTCATAATATTATATATTTTCATGATAAAGTCCAGTCCAGTCCACGAAGGATTTCGTACATACCCATCATTATTTTGTCTGTGGCTTGCACATAAATGTATTGAGCTTGTGAGCATCATAATCAGATATTGCAAACATTTTAGTCAATAATAAGGCGTGTCGTTTTGGTGTTCAAATTTTACAAATGATAATTCATGTCTTAATGCCTTTAAAATAACACCTTAATATAATGAACAAAAAGCCCACATTTGACTGTTAACATGCGGAAGTGCAGAATAATAATAATTTCTTCGTTTCAGTTGATCTACAGCCGTGACCACATCATATCCATTCTAGAGAGTGGTTTATTATTTCGGGAAGACTGTGTGGAGGTTGAGCAAGAAGCGCCGTCGGAACAGGAAGTGTGGCGCGCTGCCGGCGGTGGTCGAGTAGGCTGGATGACGCGAGGAGAGCAAGTCGGCGCTGGGGCGTTAGTTATTGCTTGTTTGGTCGCATGTCCACCTAAGAAGTGAGTATTTAAGGCGATGTTAAATATATATACTAGCTTGCCAGGCAGACGTTGTTCTGCCTTTTTCGAAGAAAATTTTTCATGTTCTATTAAAAATCCTTGAATTCGCAAATAAAAATTGTGTGCAAAAAACTATCCTTCAAGTTGGACCAAATTGCACACGGTGTGCAAATTTGATTAAAATCGGTTAAGTACTTTAGGAGTCCATCGCGGACAAACAACGTGACACTTAATTTATATATATATATATATAAAAAAAATAAAAATATATATATATACACAGTGTGTCCGGTCACGGACTACCGATATTTTAGGTACTTATAATACAGCTATTTTAATATAAAAATACACTACACACTGAGGTCTAATCCCCTCCCCCTCTATTTGGTAGCCATTTTGTTTTTCTCTTGAGATATTCTCTACGCGTTTACGAAAAAAGTCATATCTCTGAAAGTTTTAGTCTTACTGAGATAAAAATTAACTCATTCGGAGGCCAATAATATTGTTTATCGTTTACATTATCAAAATTTTTGTTGACATACTTGTAACTTTGAAGAAAAAAAATTTAACTTCAAATAAATATCAAAAAAATATGCTAATCGGCAAATTATTGTAGATTACTGCAAAAACAACCCCGTTCACCCTTTTTATTTTTATACTAGATCGACAGATTTTGAGTTAAGCTACAATGCAACATAAAGTTTACAGCTGTATGTTTATTACTTTAAGGACTATTGTTGTTTGAACATGGCGTATGCCCAAACACAAAAGGCCTTTGTTAAGTGACAACTGGCACTGCCTGCCTAGGAGTAATAGTGTTCTGTGCTGCCTGCTCTCAAATTATACTACTTATAAATGATGATTCTGATTCTCTGATCTCTAATTCATCATCTCTAATTCTATAAAAATTAATCATATGTACAAGTGCTGTAAACAGTGTATAATTTTAATTAACGTTATTTTAATTTATTTAAATTCCCGGCGTTTCGGCCGGGTGTAGGGTGGGGGGAGGGGGGGACTGAGGGGTTTGACACTGGTGAAGCACCGACATTATGTGATCCGTGAAATCTGCAGTCTGTTGTAGTTAATTTAGTTCAGTAGCTATTAAATTATGAAAAAATTATTTTGTTCGCTATTGTTTATGGACTCGATTTTTACTTTTTTAAAACTTAAATTACTATAGTCAACCAAATATAGTGCCACCAACTTATCTGTTCAGGTGGACAAAATTGGAACTAAGGCCGCCATTTTGTAAATGACATTTCGCTGTCAGTTATTATTTATTCTGAGCTATCAGGTGAGTGTTTTTAAAAAGTGCAAATAAAATGCCTAAAGCTCTTAAAAGTGATGCGCGACAGATTATCCTAAAAGTTTTATCTTTTATGAAAGAAGAGAAACGTGTACAAGCCCCAATTATACCATTTGAAAAGCTGTATGAACGCGTTACTGCCGCGACAGGTTAGTATTGCCAGATATGGAAAATTAAAATCACCTAATAATGTACTTGTGAAACATAGTAAAAGAAAATTCTCAATTTACTGTAATTCGTCTAAATTACCTAGCTTTGTAATTTGTGGTCTGTGAAGTAGCTATAGTGACGGCATATACACGGGCTTATATTTATTTAATTTTACCTATACAATAATTATTTGTCGTTTCGTTACAGGTGTTTCTGAGCGAATTGTACACAAACTCGTAAATGAAGAGAAACACGCTGAAGAATCAAATTCTAAAATTTCTACCCCTGGCAAAAAAAGGCAAAGAAAAACCGGGAAACAAGAAGTTGATAATTTCGACATTGGTGTTATAAGAAGAAAAATTCACGAATTTTATTCAGTGAAAAAAGAAATTCCTACCATACCCAAATTACTGAGTATTTTAAAAGAAGATATTGATTTCAAAGCAGAACGTGAAACTCTTCGAAAATTGCTTCACAAAATAGGATTTCGTTATAAGAAAACAAAATCAAATAGAAAAGTGTTGTATGAACGTAACGACGTAGTTGCATGGAGAGCAACGTACCTACAAAAAATTAAAGAAAATGAGTGTGGTGAAAAAAGACCTATTATTTATTTAGACGAAACTTACATACATTCGTCTCACTCAACTGGGAAATGTTGGCAAGGTCCTGAAGAGGATGGCGATTTGGAACCTGTTTCGAAAGGTAATAGGTGGATCATAATCCATGCAGGTGGAGAAAAAGGTTTTGTGGAAAATGCACTTCTCGTATTTAAATCAAATACAAAGTATGGGGACTACCATGATGAAATGAATAGCACTAATTTCAAAAAATGGGTATATGAAAAATTACTACCTAATCTGCATGAACCTTCTCTCATTGTGATGGATAATGCGCCATACCATAGTATTTGCGTAAATAGGTGTCCTAATTCAAACCACAGTAAGGCTGATATGCAGAAGTGGCTTGTAGAAAACAATGTGGATTTCAATGAACAAATGACAAAACCACAGCTTTATGAGTTAATAAAGAAAAATAAACCTGCTCCGGAGTATGAAATTCATAACCTGATGAAAAGTTATGGCCATGTTATTCTTAGATTGCCGCCTTATCATTGCGACTTGAACGCAATTGAAATGATATGGAGCTCTATGAAAAGGAACATAGCAGACAAAAATGTTGGAAAATCTAATGTTCTAATGCCCCAATTAATTGAAGATGCATTCAATAAAATTACACCGGTGCAGTGGAAAAACATTTGTAATCATGTGAAAAAAATTGAAAATGCATACAGACTAAAAGACGCGTATTTAGATGAACCCTTTATTATAGAGTGTCAGAGCGATAGCGAAAGCGATTCCAGTGACTCAGAAGATGAATTATTGGAATCAGTAGTTAACGCGGGTACGTCTTTCAAAACAGAAATTCCTGGAGTTCGGCCGCTTGAACTCCGAGACCACGACCACAATTATTTTTATAAAATCTAAATAATATATATAATAACACTAATTCTCACTAATTTTAATATATTAACACGAAATTTGTTTTATTTTATATTATGTGTACCTAATGAATATGTAGTCACCTATTTCCTCGGCGAATTTCTTAAATGGCAATAGTAAGCACTCCACTAGCGACTCTGTAAACTGAACAGATAAGTTGGTGGCACTATATATAATAAGAAATACATTTTGACAGCTGTCAGACTTATTGCGCCAAGCATACCAACTAAAAAATGGGAACGTACACTATTCAATTCTTAAAAAAATCGATATTAATTATTTAGAGTTGGTAATTATTTACAGTTTGGTTTGAATAATACCAAAATAAATTAATAACGGATAATTTAAAACACAAGATTTATCAGTTTCTTCGTATTTGTTGTAATTGCTTATTTCTAGAGGTAAAAAGTAATAAAAATTTAAGATTGAAACTAGATTAAAAATAAATTTATTCAACCGATTTTAGTACAACCAGTTGAGCTGTCGTTGTTTAGTCGTTGTTTTTTCTTATTTGATTTTCAATAATGCACTCAAAGTTAATGTTTCTTTCAAAGTTATCCATAATCATATTTTTTTGTTTTTTTCTACCATTTGCTCAATCATCTTTTGTGACATGGATACATGCTTCAACGAATATAGAAGAAACAGTCCAAAAAGTTAAAGCCCAGTCACAAAATAAAAAACAACATCACAAAATTACGCACAGTAAGCTCCCGAAATGGCGGGAAATTGAAATTACGTAGTAGGTTTTTCGGCGCGGCGTTGTATATGAGTTTTTTGTTTACACAAATTTGCGTTCACAAAATAAAAAAATAACTTGTTTTTTTTTCATGATTCATGTAATTTAAGGAATTTTAAAAATAAAAATTTAACTAAGCAAATAATACATTAAAAAATTAATGATTCGATTATTTGAATATTTTTGCCGATTCTTTGAATATTTTTGCCGATTATTCGCATAACAATGAATTTTAATCATCCAAACACTACGGTAAGATACATGGAGACATATCATTGAAGCGGCGTCAAGTAAAAAAGTTGATACTGGTTATTTTTTAATATTTTGCTTTGTTTGAAAGATTCGAATTTAAATTAGTGATAAAAAACTAAAAATAAAAATATAGATAACCTCATAATTCTTTGGATTCACGAAAAAGGTTATTTTAAATCGTGTGAGTACGCTTGTGCAAAGTTATTGCGGAATGATTAATGTAAAATGTTGAAAGGTATTTCTTAGATTTGGTTGACTATAACTCTCGAGGTTTTGAGTGTATTGTAACAACCATAGCCGTATTTCACGTTTTTTTTAGTTTACAGCGTTCGACTCTACTTCGAACCGCGGCGTACATGTTACTGCCGCTGGGTGTACGCTTAGCGCATCGAAGACGATGTCGAGGTTTTTTGCACGCTTTATTGGCGTGCATGCGCGATTATTTGACGCTCGCTCGTCGGGCCGCCGCGATGTGTCGGGAGTATGCTGCGTTGCATGCTAAATTGTGAGTACCCTCAATTATTATCTATTTCTACGGCCCGTCACAAGTCCGCTGCTGAACATAGGCCTTCCCACAAATTTTCTGCAGCGGAGATAGAGGCAATAATTCTCCCTACAGGAGATGACTACTTCCATAACCTTTGGATAGACGGTTTACGTTGTGACGAAGAGGATATGGAAAATAATAAATAATTGTAGCAGGTGATTATAACATAGATAATAAATTTGATTTAATTTTTTTAGCACTATTGTGGTACGTAGTGGAGTCATGCTGCAGCTATATTATGGTTGTAGCACGAATGGTAGTTAGCGGAAGGTTGCAAAGTAATTAAAAAAATATATTTTTTATTATAATGGATTTCCGTAAAATAACGCCTGATTCTATCAATTATCATGAATGGGTCGGCTCGACCGGGGAAAGATCACGCCTTCACAGAATACTAGCGCAAAATATCAGCTTAATGCAGCTGTGTTTAGAGATCCAAAGACTCTTTTTACTGGAAACGAGGCATTTCATCTTAGTTCTCCTGGGTTACAATGCATCTGATGGAGGATTCATGTAGATGTCTATGGGCCACAGCATCCACTTACCACCAGGTGGACTGTAAGCTTGTTTGTCACCCTAATTTTATATAAAATCGAGATTGCCACAAAGTGTGGTGCTAAGCTACCTGAATCCATCGACTTCCTGGTATTATCTAGTCGTCTAGCATTGTGCTTGCCAGTTTCAGACTTCAACCTAAGAACCATTCCTCCTCTCGGTTGTTGGTTCTCCGTGCTGTGTGGCCGGACCATTGCCACTTCAGCTTACTGATCCGCTGAATTGTGTTAGTTACTCTTGACCTTCTGCGGATATCCTCGTAATGGATTTTATCCGTGTAGATGTGTCAATCATGAATGATTCGTTTGGTTGAGCTGGTACAATTAAAAAAATTTGAATGAATGAATTCATTCTTCTGTTTTTGAATATTCCGGTACAACCAATCACAAACAATTGACAGAACCTTTTTAATTCTCTTGAATTTTTTGCAATGTATGACAACAAATGTTTCAATTCAAAACTCTTTATTTATTTTTTGTAGTAAATAAAGAGTTTTGAAATTATTTTTCCAATAATCACGATGTCAAAATAATTTTACGGTACGTTTATTTACACATTAAAAATTTCTTTAAAAAATGGCACGTTGACACATAAAGGTTCGCCACCCCTGTACTAGAATTACGATCACAAGAAATTGTGTGATAATTTATGGAACAATAGGCAATGCTCCTGGGAGCGGTCAGATCGTTTTGACGTCAATCTCTATAAAGACGTGTTAATTAAATAATTATAAAGTGTTAATTAAGAAACAAAATAAAATTTTAAATAGTTTTTTTTAAATAATTTTAATTTCCCTTAATCTTGACTACTTTGTTCCATGTTTACAGTTTATTTTTGCTGTAATAGCCATAATAAGGCAGAAATATACAGTGGACTTTTATAGGCTGTTATGGTAATGGAGGGACTCTACCGTTAGTCTACTGTCTCTTGAGATGCCATGAAAAATATATAAATTGTAGCACACTGCAGGACATTAGAGACTTAGCCTACTGTCTCTTGAGATGCTATGAAAAATATATAAATTGTAGCACACTGCAAGACATTAGAGACTTAGGCTACTGTCTCTTGAGATGCTATGAAAAATATATAAATTGTAGCACACTGCAAGACATTAGAGACTTAGGCCACTGTCTCTTGAAATGCTATGAAAATATATAAATTGTAGCACACTGCGGGACATTAGAGACTTAGGCTACTGTCTCTTGAGATGCTATGAAAAATATATAAATTGTTGCACACTGCAGGACATTGCAGACTTAGGCTACTGTCTCTTGAGATGCTATGAAAAATATAAATTGTAGCACACGGGACATTAGATACTTAGGCTACTTTCTCTTGAGATGCTATGAAAATATATAAATTGTAGCACACTGCGGGACATTAGATACTTAGGCTACTATCTCTTGAGATGCTATGAAAAATATATAAATTGCTGCACACTGCAGGACATTACAGACTTAGGCTACTGTCTCTTGAGATGCTATGAAAATATATAAATTGTAGCACACTGCGGGACATTAGATACTTAGGCTACTGTCTCTTGAGATGCTATGAAAAATATATAAATTGTAGCACACTGCAGGACATTACAGACTTAGGCTACTGTCTCTTGAGATGCTATGAAAATATATAAATTGTAGCACACTGCAGGACATTAGAGACTTAGGCTACTGTGTCTTGAGATGCTATGAAAAATATATAAATTGTAGCACACTGCAGGACATTAGAGACTTAGGCTACTGTCTCTTGAGATGCTATGAAAATATATAAATTGTAGCACACTGCAGGACATTAGAGACTTAAGGCTACTGTGTCTTGAGATGCTATGAGAGTTCCTAATATATAAATTGTAGCACACTGCAGGACTTTAGAGACTTTTAGGAAGACCGTAACACAAGACCAGTGTTCGATCTACCACAATAGAGTTTTCTTTTCAGGGGCTCATTATCATCAGTGTTGGAGTCGATGCACACAATGTTGTGTCGACAACAAAGCGAACTGGCGGTTCTAATGTCTCGAGCGTCGTCCGCCATTTTGGGCAACGCGCCATGGCTGAGGGACGACGTTGCGTGGGACGCCGTGTCGAGAGATAACTCGGAGAACTTGATGGTAAGTAGAGGTTTAACTAAGACTTGTTATTGAGACCGAGATTGAGAATAACAAAAGTGACAAAGCGGTATCCCGACCAAAACCTTGCAAAAGTGCGTTTCTCAGAGACTATCATCTCATTAGTTATGAGAAATAAGCTACATCTAAAAGCACATTATTAATGTTCGATATCCTATCAACACATTCAACGTTCTAATTTGTTTTTATGTGATATATAAATACATATAAAATCAACTTTTAAAAAATGACTAAAATTATTGATTACATGCATCTGTTGCTAAAGGCAACGCTCTACTCATTTAAAGATTACTCTGATGGATACATAATTTAAAAATCTATATTATCCACGTTTTATTTAATTTCTTAAGTTCGCTTTTCTTTTTTAATTGAAATAATTCCGAAAATTCTGGCGTGTTTTTGCGCGATATGTTGTAGCGAGAGCGCTTGGATTGTATAGGACCGAACGCTCAAGGTCGTTCGCTAGGGGAAACGCCTTAAGAATGTTCATATCAAATTAGTCGCGGCCATCGGCCATCTAGCGTCTATTTTACGTAACACTGTCTCACCTTGATCATTATTTGTGAAAGGAACGGAGAGCAAGTGGACTACAAAACTGTATTCAATTGACTGAAAAACTAAATGTGGACTATATATTGTGGGGGTTCTATTAAAGAGAGATGGAACGATTTAAGAAATAATTTATTCAACTATGTGAATACAATGATGATCGCAGCAGTTAATAATTAATATTACTTATCTAAAAGTATAACAAAGGAGCACTAGGGGATTATTTCTTCCCGATTCTTCTTTATTCTTGTTGGGAGCTCTTCTCTGCCGCGAATGTATTTCGCCGCCCAGATGCTCGTCTTATATTCTCGCGGCGGTAGTCGCGCAGTCGATCGAGCGCGCATCGAAGGATTCTGTCCTCGTCCGTAACAATTTATACTATCGTAGACTTGAAAAATAACCCTGACTAACTAATTAATTATTTTTGTTCTAGAAAATACATCACGCTTTTCTTGTTGTGCAATCCACTCTCCTGAAGCACATTGCAATGGCGCACTATTTACCTCCAGCCCACGCACAAAAGATTTACAAAAACCACAATGAACGCATTTATTGGATCCATACGGTTCTGATAAAACATCTGACGGAGGAATTCAAAGAGAACTACGCGGCTTTAGAAAGAATGTACAGGCTTCTAAAGAACTACGGCACGAAAGACAGTGAGCCCAAGAAACCTGGACACGCCGTAAAAGATAATTGGTTGTATTCTGACGTACACACCGATATTGCCCGAACCAACTTAGAGCTGAAATTAGCCTTGACCAAATGCAGTAGTATAGATATGTTTTTAGACGCTTGTGCGTTGAACAAACAAGAGTTAAATGTCGATATATTAAACAAAGATATCGAAGACCTAATAGATAACCTCACGAAATGTCTTTCAACGGCACAAAATTCACAAATCAGGCTTAAAAAGTTACATAGAAAATTTGAGGATGATGATACAAAGATGAAAGATAAAGATGTAGTCTTAAATGCCGAAGAAAAAACTAACATTTTGAAAATAGAAGATAAAGAACCGGAGACAAGAGATGAAGTTTTTTACTATGTTAAAACTGAAGAGGATGCTCCTCCGCAATCAGCGGAAGATATTACAACGGGGCCCGGAAAGAGGGAAAAGGACGCCACTAAAGTTGTTTTAAATGAATTAAAAAGGAAATTGGTGAAGAGAGAGGATGTAATGAGAGAAAGAGAAAGGCAAGCGTTAGCAAAAACAATGCCCGAGCTTAAAGTAGTTCCAGAATTCCCAAGGCAAATTAACGTAGAAGTTTTAGATAGAAAAGGTTTTATATCGAAAATAAGAATAAATACAAAAAATAAAAACTTAAAAGCTCAACTTAAGAAAGGGATACATAAGCGAAAATGTTTTTCATGTAAGCGAAATAAAATGTTTAATAGGGTAAAGAAATATAAATTAGAAATTGATTATTATTCAAATGAAAATGATATACCTGGTTATGTTTGCGAAGTAAACTCTAACTTAAAGTATAAATCCGTCTTTATAACTGTAAATGAATTGGATAGCGTAGTAGTTGTTACAAAATGGTTGCTAAAGCAAACTGATAAATTAGAATCGAACAAAGTTATACATGCAAATCCCGCGGAATCTCCAAAAGAAGTAAGCTATAGTAATAGTGAATTAAATGGCCGTTTGGACGAACATCTTAAGGTTTCGCGGAAAGATCTAGAATTATCTTCATCAGAAAGTGACTCAGAATTTGATCAAGTTAAGCGTAGGGAAATTTTAAAGGATTTACGTCGTCATAGAGTTAATAGAAAAAGGAACGAAAGATCCATAGATACGGAGGTCGATGAGAGTTTAAGGCCTATAGAGTACAGTTTGGGTACCGGTTTAGCTATGGCTTCAGTTCTACAAATAAATAGTATCGCAAATAGACCCAATATGGTCGAAGAGCAATTTATAGGCGATGGTGAAGTTTCGGATGACAGCGGAAATGAAATTTCTAATTAAAAATCCGTATCTGTGACTTCATTCATTATAAAAATCTATTTTGCTGAAAAATGTATCAAGATGCCTTCACATTCATAATTTATGTTATCATTAATGATTGTTAAGCATAAATATTCTATCGAACAAACAATCCCACTGCAAGTTCTTTGCATAGGAGATTTTAAAATAAAATTATTTAAAAATAATTAACACTAGAAATTAAGAAGTGGGTTGATCTAAAATGATGGGATATTTGGGCGGCAAAACATTTGTAGAATAGTTTTTAAAAGATCTATACATGAAGCGCGTGAGTGCTGTGTGATAAAGACAGCTGCAGCTTATACTTAGTATAACTTTTTTTTTATAGGATAGGGTGACAAACGAGCACACAGTCCACCTGATGGTAAGTGGTTGCTGTGGCCCATAGACATCAACATCTATCCTCGATTACGAATCAAAATGCAGATGCGTTGTCACCCGTGAGGACTAAGATGGAATGCCTCGTTTCCAGTAAAAAGGGTCTCCGGTTCTCTACGCTCACCATACGAAACACAGCAGCATTAAGCTACTATTTCACGCTGGTATTCTGTGAGAGCGTGGTCCTTCCCCGGTCGAGCCGACCCATTCGTGCTACAACTATACTACTAATATAACTGCAGCATGGCTCTTCCACGTAACAAATTCCTGTTTCCTCATCCTAAATTGAATATATAAGATGGATTGTGCCTCTGTGCTTTTCTTCCTTTTTATATTGTTTGCTAGATGTCTGATAGCCGCGACATAGCCTGACCATTTTTTCCCGCGATTTCATTCGCGTGGAATTTCCGCTGTACGGACTCATAACTCTTTTTTTAAATAAGAATTCCCTTAGTTACTCTTTATAGCATCTGCTATCTTCCAGTGTAAGTCGCTTTTAAATAGCTCTAGCCTTTTCAAAGATTTGCTGAATCGAACACATAGACTGACACTTTAAAAATTGAATATCAAACCGTACTTACGGATTTTATCACGTTGAATAACTTATGTTATTTTTTATTATAAGTACTTAACGTGTATACTTTCATGTGCATTTATTTAAAAGATGTTATTTTTCCATTACAAACAGACACTTAAATGTTATTTATTTGTATAGATTATTGTAAAAGGTTTACAGTTTTTAAAATAAATAATTTTATATTAAAAAAAAAAAAAAAACAAATTAAAGTAACGGCTTAGATATTGAGTCGTAAAATTATTTGATCTAGTGTAATTATCTAGGAAAAAATGGAAGAATACGTTTATGTGTATTTAACGTCGACCGGATATCCTCTTATAATGTGTTCTGTTTTGTGAAATTGCTGCTGGGAATATTACAAGTATAGTATATATTATTATGATTTATGAAACGTTCGTTTATGTACAGCTTTGAATTCGTTTCATATTAATGAATCCTTTTGAAGCATTTAACAATGATTAAATTAAGAAAATATCAAATACATTTTTAATTTATTTTTAATAGAAACTAGTAATTCATAAAATTATTTATATTGAAAGTATATTCAGTATTAAATGTTACTTCAATTATGTAAGCTCTTAATGAAAATTTTATGATTAAAAAAGGATGTTTGAATTTTTTTTTAATGGAAACCCTTTTGTTTTATTTTTTAACCTTTTCTTTTAAATTATTATGGAGAGAAGAGCTAAAAATAAGACACGAGGGAGCCATCGTTCATGGTTCAGGTGTTGTATAGCTATGGGTACAAAGTTGTCGCTCGAATTGTGGTAAATTAAAATAGTACTTCCCCTATTATAATATTATATTCATCATCATCGTCATTACATTCTATAAAAGTTACTGCTAAACATAGGATTTGCCTGATGGTAAATAGATGCTGTTGCCCCAATGATTTCAAAAGGAAGGATAGGCCTATCTAAATATTTTACTCATAACTTTTTCATACAAGAAAAAGTAGCGCATCTGTCATAATACAAACGTCATATCATAACACGACGTAACCAGGAACGGATTTCATAGTATAATTATCCTAACTATACCATTATTTCATAGTTTGTAGTATATATTATCGTAATAATACTAAGCTCAAATACGATCATTTTACCTAAATATCGACTTGTATTATTATTGGGTCCTTTTACTTTTAATATTAATCCTACGATATCGAGAATTTCTGTAGTGTACATGAGTACCGCGTTTTTTAAATAAAGTTAGAAATAGCTCCCTTTCTGGTCAATGGATGCTCGATCGGTCCTTTTCTTTTGAACTCTTTTCGTTTAAACCTTATTGTGAATATAAAACATATTAGGTACCAATATTCAAAATTTAACTTACACTAAGTTTTTTAGACAAAATTTAAACAGAAATAAAAATTCGTGACTCCAAAATCCCGGCACATGGGTAAAAAGAAACATAAAACATCAAACGTGATAATTTTTTTTTTAATTGTATTATTTTATTTTCCATGTACAATATTTTTGAGGGTCTGAATCCAGCCCTGGTCTAATCTTGGTAACGTAACTAAACTAACTGTAAAATAATAATATAAAATTTAATATAATAATAATATAATATAAAATAAAATGCGTTTATATAATAATTTAATTGTAACAAAATTAATTCAAGGTTATTTACCGATGATACGATATCCCATGTTTCTCTTATCTTTGTATCGTAATTTTAGCATTCTTTTACCACGCAACTAGACATATTTGTGACAGGCAAATCTGTTCTGCGCGCGCACCACTGTCGACCGATTCGCGTTGGCCCTAAACTGTAATTTTAGGGACAACGCACTGGTCCGTTTTAATTGTTCGGTCGGCCCGGTCCTTACGCTAGTAATATATAAGTCAATGTGTTGCCCATAGACATCTACACATCTATTCTCAATTAGGGATCAAAATGCACTGTTACCTGAGGACAAGGATGGAATGCCTCGTTTCCAGTTAAAAGGAATTCAGGTCCTCCACACTTATAATAAGAAACACTTTTTCCATTATTTTACGTAAAAGACATATTCAACGAAATTCAAAAGAATTACATAGGGCGGAGTTAATGCCTTTAAGCTTTCCCAAGACCAATCGAATAATATGATAGTTAAAGCAGCCTACATACATCCCACTGCTGGGCACAAGCCTCCTCTCATTTCTAAGGCCGGCCTCGTACGTACAGGTCGACCACACGCATGCGGAATCCCGTTTTGGTCGAAAAATTTCGAAAGGAAAACTACCGTAGGTGTGTGATGGGTTTTTGATTTTCTATGGACTTGCTGCGTTCGGTATTCCGGTTATCGGAATCGGAATGCTATATGTATGTGGCCGATCTAAGTGGATTTGAGGGCAAATAATAATCCGACGCGCTGCCCCAATGCGTGTTGGCGAATTTCACATGCCTTCGAAATATTTTTTTTTTATTTCTCAGACATGCAGGTTTCTTCAAGGTGTTTTCCTTCACGTGCACGTGGTAAATCAGCACTAAAAATTACAATTAATTTCATTGGTGCCGGCTGGGATCGAATCCGGGTTGCTCGCGTACTGTGAAATTTACAGCGAGCGTTAACCATCTGAGCCACCACGGCTAATAATGTGATAGATTCTTAATTTATTGTTATTAATGATTAGTATTTATTATAAAATTAAATGTATTAAATGAGAACATAGTCCACCTGATGGTAAGTAGATTTTGTAGTCCTAATTCATTCATTTATTAATAATCATCATCATTATCATTACAGTCCATTAAAACTGCACTGCTGAACATAAGACCCCCCCCTGCCCTTACATGGTCTCATAAAGGAGATATTTGCTATAGTTGCCACACTGCAGGCAGGTTGGCAATGGCAGGTTTTATTTTTTAATGTTATAGGAAGACGCTGATGCCCATCTCCTAAAAATAGTTCCTTCGCCCCTTCTTACGACACCCCCATGAGACGATATAGGGTAGTGGATATTCTAACACAGCAACTACACAGTTATGGTTACTACATTCATTCTTTAAAGCCTTTGAAATCTTTACTAATGAACATTTGGCCTCCCCATACTTTGGTTCATGGGGGAGGGCGGAGGGGGGGGGGGCTAGTTGCACAGTGAGCGGGTTAGCATCTACAGTTTATTATCATTTTAAGTTCCTATTAGGATGATGCTCGTACCTGTCTAAGTTACGATATCCACCACTGCCTCGTTGGTCTAGTGGTCGTAGTGGTGCGACTGCTGATCATGAGGTCCTGGGGCCGAATCTCGGGTCGGGCCAAAAAATTAATTATTAAGTTTTTCCGTTAAGAAATTTTCAATAGCTGCCCGGAGTCAGAAATGTAGGCGGTGTCTCACCCCCGTGCCTCAGAAAGCACGTAAAGCCTTGCGCCTGATCTCTCTCCGGTCGTGTCGGTTTACCGTTCCATCGGATTATGAGAGTGAGGGAATAGAGAATGCACGTGTGCTTGCGAATACACTTGGGCACTATAATCCTGTCCTGCGCCGACGGCTAACCTCTGTTGAGGCTGGCCGCCGGGACCGAAATTCGGTCTGGAGGACATTATCCACAGTTGCTATAGAGAATCCACTATAGTCATCACAGAATAAATACCTAATAGTCTACATACTTATATGATTTTATGAATTATAATCCACAATCAGATGTGCCTAATATATGGATTGTAGAGGTAAGAAGAACAAACTGTATAAAAAAATTTCCGTAGAAAAACGCTAAATAAGGGTGGCGCCACTGTAGCTACAGTGAAAAATTTTAAAGAACTTTTTGTATTTTTTTCTAATTAAGCAGACTCACCATAATGCTTTTTATAATGAATTATTTTATTGTTTTCAAATTTTGTTATTTTCATATACTCAACGTATTTTACGGCGATTTAAATTCATACCCTGTAGCTACTCGAGCGCTGTTGTGTATATGTTTTTGAACTGTTATTTACTACTTACAGATGGACACTTTTTTAACTATTCTCGCTATGGGAGACTGTCCTCTTTGCCTTTATATCCATGCCCTAATGTCTAAGGTTGGCAATCAGAGACAATTTTGAGCGTAAATTAGAACTTAAAAATGCCAAATTGTTTCTACACCATACTATGTTAGTTGACTGTGTCAGGTACTTTTGTTGTTCTTCGGATATCCTCGTCACAGATTTTATCATGTAGTACGACGCATACGAGCATAGTTCGTTAAGTGGCTAAGCTTCCTCATATAGCCGATAGGAAAGGGCACATCTCGATTCCTTGCAATATTACGTAAGTATTGATCTACCAAGTGCTCGGTGATGAAGGAAAACATCGTAAGGTAACCTGAGAAATTAAAAAAAAATATTTTGCTTTATTCCAACACGGAAATAACGGAATACTATAATAAATACGGAATAGGTAGATATAGTGCAATAACGTACATTTGGGAATAGTTCATCACTTGCACAATATGCACCGGTTGAACAATAGGCTATTAAAGAAAATGCGTTTGTTAATTACTAAAACAATTATACTAAACGTTTCCGTTAATAATTAAATGGTAAGATAAATTAATTATTATGAAGTGTAAGAGTTGTTTTTCTATTTACTACGTGCTCGGCGGTGAAGGAAAACATCCTGAGGAAACCTGCATGCCTGAGGAATAAGAAAGAAAAAATTACTGACATGTGAAGTTCGCCAACACGCACTGGGGCAGCGCGGCGGACGCTTCCTTGCCCTAAAACCCTCTCAGAAATGAGGGGAGGCCTGTGCCCAGCAGTGGTACATACCTATATAGGCTGTAACTTTACTTTTATGATGCTCATTCGATCGAACAGACCCATTCGTGCAACAACCGTAATATAGCTACAGCATGGCTGTACTGCGTATAAAAAATCGTTCCTCATTATCTATAGTGGTGTTTACAGCGATTCCAACTTGAATCCAAATAAGGAGCCCTAAAACTGCTAGATGCGTGTCACGTTGTACTGAGCACTATTTTCGTCGCGTAAGTGTGTCTTGCATGACACCACTAGTTATTTGGCAATACCATATTGGCACAATAATATTATGGTTATGTCCAAATTTTTCCTTGGTCGAAATCGGTAGATCGTTGGTGGGAGAATATTCAGAATATAATAATTAAATCAATTAGAATATTTTAAGAATTGAATTACTTCGTCTGATATCTTGGAATTGTATATATTATGGCCAATCTATCTAATTCCACCATAGGACAAGCAGACGCTGGCCCAGTCTTCACCACTTTGTTTTCGAGATACCATGCATTCGAACCAAACGGTTTTCTTCGCCGTTCGTCATGCGTACAGCAAAGGAATGGAATAATTTGCCAGCATCCGCCTTTCGTCAGCCGTGGTAGCTCAGATGGTTAACGCTCGCTGTAAATTTCACAGTACGCGAGCAAACCGGGTTCGATCCCCGCCGGCACTAATGAAATTGTTAATTGCAATTTTAAGTGCTGATTTATTGCTCGGCGGTGAAGGAAAACATCGTGAGGAAACCTGCATGTCTGAGAAATAAGAAAAAAATATTTCAAAGAAATGTGAAGTTCGCCAACACGCATTGGGGCAGCGCGGCGGACTATTCCTTGCCCTAAAAACCTCTCAAAAATGATAGGAGGCCTGTGTCCAGGAGTGGGACGTATATAGTCTGCAACTTTACTTTATCTGCCTTTCCGACCGTATAGGTATAATGTGGGTCTGTAAGGTAAGAGTGAATATGATTCTTTTTGTCCCACAAACATAAAATTTGTTTAAAACTTGGCTACAGCGCTATTTATGAGATCCTAGTATAGCTATGTATCATCGTTTTGACAAGACAAATACGTATATTGGGTAAATATGACCTCAATCGGTCAAGTTGTTGAGAAGTTGCACGTTTACTAACAGACGCACCGACGATAATAGATAAAGATATAAACAAATGCAATTAATTATAATGATTATTACTACCTACATAATAAGACATAACGGCTAATAAAATGACGCGTTAATTTCTTAATAATTGTAAGCGTAATCAAACAGTCTAGTTTGTTTGTCAAGCAAGATGCACGCACTGACTATTTTGTAAGTTTTCTATATTTTGCTAAAACAAAACAAAATTTTTAATTTCCCTGGGAAAATCTGTATTAAATTAATAAAGAAACATATTACATACTTCATATTTCAATTTTAAGTTAATTAATGAGTTATTAGTGTTTTGTGCTCGATATTATAATGTGTAAACTGAAAAATTACCCTATTATATATGTCATTTCGCTAATACATTTTTTTTAATTTATGATAATCTCTCTTCAGCTGTATACTAGAAGTCATGCTGTTCGGTGTGAAAGTGTTTGCTCAAAACCAAACACTAAATGCCACAGATCCATCGACAACGATAAAAAATGGTAAGGTTTGTTGTTTTGTTATCTAACAGGCTTGGTAGCGCAGTGGATGAGTTTTTGTTTTATAGGACAGGGTGACAAACGAGTACATAGTCCACCTGATGGTAAGTAGTTGCTGCGGCCCATAAACATCCGTGAGGATTAAGATGGAATACCTCGTTTCCAGTTAAAAAGGGTCTCCGGTTCTTTACACTCACTGTACGAAACACAGCAGCATTAACTATATTCTGTGAGAGCGTGGTTCTTCCACGGTCGAGCTGACCCATTCGTGTTAAAATATAGGTTTAGTAGGGGTATAGTTGTAAAGCCATGCTGTAGTTAAACTAATATAACTGCAGTATGGCTCTACAACGTATAAAATTGGTTGTGGCGCCGCGAGTCACGGGTCGGAGCCCCGTACGAACCGTTTATTTGTTTATCTGCTCTCCATCAACTCTAGCGTGAATATTTTAGGTTGGTTAAACGGAACAATCGCACGGAACTAGTCTACAAATAATTGTTACGGGCGGGTCTGGATGTTTGTTCTTGTGAAATTTATGTGCGCAAACCACCTCCTCCATTGTATCTTGCAGCACTTACGGCTTGAAATGAGTGGTAGATTATCTTTGCAATACTTTTACTCGCGCGAAACGCTACACTGCAATACACTTTTAATGATTCGTAAGATTTTGTTATAATTTTTAACAACGAAGCAGTTATTGTATCAAACTAAATTACTTTTTATAAAATTTTAGGTAAGAAGTCCAATTCGTTATTAGTACTTATACATAGTTTATCGTTAAAAGTTAAAGCAGTGCCAGTAAATGAAGTTTTATATAACATACCCATATAAATTTACACATGTATAATATTAGGTAAGATAGAACTAGTAAGTTAATAAAGGACGTCATCAGCCGATGACCCAATGAGGAGGGGGGAGGGGGCAAGTTCATATATAGAGGATAGGAAAATGTAGGCTTTATGTGCTATCCTGCACATGAAGCTTTACACTTTTATTACGCGTTTTACCTTTACGGCGACTGTAATAAGAACGTTATTAATTCCAATGTGTAAAGCTTCACGAGCTCTTGACTTTACAATAAATAAGACTCTGCGATCAACAATACCAACTATATAACGGATCACGTACAAAATCATAGCTAAATACTGTACGCATGAATATAAACTATGAAAAGACATAAATTAAATAACATTTAGTGTGAAATCAACCTTAAATTATAACAAATAAAGTTCTTTTTCCCGTTATTACCTTGCGAGCTTACACTCTCACGTGCAAGAGCTCACGTCTCATGTGCGCTCTTATTTACTGAGATGGATTTCTTGCGCCGACCCGACATCTAGTTGGTATTGTTGATCGAAGATAAGACTAGTTGCTTCTCGAGGAGTCTCTAGAGCAGCTGACCCTCCCTGCTCCCCTTGGTGATGCAGATACTTAATATACAGACCATTGTTCTATTGCAGACACTTCCTCGGCGATCCCGTGCACCACGAGCAGAGGCGAAGCCGGCACCTGTTTAGGGAGAGAGCGATGTGACTATGGTACCCCGTCCATAGATTTCACGCTCTACGTACCACATGGCTATATGAAGTAAGAACACAATACGTAATCACATATAAATGCATGTTATCGCGATGTATGTAGCTACATTGTCACGATGACTTCGGCACTGGGCGAAGCCGAATAGGTAGATACATTTTGCTGAGTTTTCGCACATCAAAGGATTCTATCATAAACTTTCCTTTATAGAATTACGGCGACAAACGAGCACACAATCCACCTGATTGTAAGTAGAAGCTGTGACCTATAGACATCTACATTTACCTTGAATAAGAATCTAGAAGCTGTGACCCATAGACATCTACATTTACCTTGAAAAAAATTTGAATAGTACGAATAAATAAGTTAGTTTTTTTTTCTCTCGCGGCTCTACCCATAGCTATCACCATACTACAAAAGGTTAGCTGGTAGAGCTCGGCATTAAATTCGCCTTTGTACTAAATTGTTTTGTTTGAGTGCAATAAAGAATTTTCTATCTATCTATCAATCTATATTATACACCTATATACACAAATCAATGCCTCAGTGATTACTACTGACCCTCTTTAAATTTTTTTGCACATAATTTACTCTTTTTAATACTTTATTTTAGATAATAATAGGTCCTTACATATGAAATTGGCATTTTGTACGGGAGGAATATAAAGTCAATTTTTTTGTGTAAAATATATTTAATTAATTAAAGTATGCACCATTGTTATCTATGTACTTTTGCCATCTCATAGGTAGTTCATTGATCTTTTTACTAAAAAAACCATTTTCGAGAATCAATAAACTCTTTGAAGGCGGTTTGGACTGCTGCATCGGAGTTAAATTTTTTTCCTTGTAAGAAGTTAAGAATTCCGGAAAAAATGGTAATCTGTTGGAGCAAGGTCCGGGGAGTGCGGTGGATGTCTTATGGTGGAGACTTAGTGGTTGTTTGTTGTGCAGTGTGTGGTCTTGCGTTGTCGTGAAGCAGCAGTGGCCTAGAGCGATTGACCAATCTCGGTTGTTTAGCAGCTAGTTCTTCCTTCATGGTTTGCAGTTGCTGACAATAGATATCTGCCGTAATCGTTTGGCCAGATTTTAGAAAGCTGTAGTGAACGACACTGGCGCTAGTCCACCAAATACTCACAAGTAACTTTTTCTGAGTCAATTTTCGTTTAGGGCAGGATTTGGCTGAGTCTCCAGGGTTCAGTCATTGCGACGAGCGCTTCCCATTATTGTACAGTATATACTTTTCATCACAATTAATGATTCGATTTAAAATCCCTTCACTTTTGTGTCGGTAGAGCAAAGTAACACAGCAGTCGACGCGTGTTCGCAAGTTCGATTCACTCAATTCATGAGGTACCCATCGTTCAAGTTTTTATACTTTCCTGATTTGCTTCAAGTGGATTAATACAGTTTCATCACTTACTCCGAAGCATGCAGCTATCTCTGAAGTGCTTTGTGATGGATCCGCTTCCACAATAGCCTTTATTTTTTGATTTTTCACTTTGGTCTCCGGCCGTCCAAGGGTTTGGTTCTGAAGGTCGAAATTTCCAGAACGAAAACGTTGAAACCAAAAACGTACTGTGCTTTTTTTGCGACACCAGCGCCGTACACATCATTAATCCTTCGAGCTGTTTCTGCAGCACTGGTGCCACGGTAGTACTCGTACTCGTAAATATACCGATATTTCATGTTTTCCATTGTGCGGTAATAAGCGTCGCAAAACGCACCGTTAGAATGGCTTTTGCTGGGACAAATATCAGTTTGTCCCAGCCGGATATCAAGCAGAAACTAACGGAACGCATAGACGACCTGAAGCAAAAGATCGCTGCTTGGGGGAAGCGGATTCGACGATTACCGAGAGGTCAAGGCGGTTCAACCAGAACCGTCTCTTCCAGAGTGATCAGAAGAGGCTCTATAAATCATTGGAGCGACCAGAGGTATGAGGAGCGGGCCCAGGACCGGATCAGGCTAACACTGTCGCATTTTGGCGTGGCTTGTGGTCAGAGCCCGTAAACCACAGCGAGGGAAAGATGGATGGAAGTTGTGGCGAGCCAGAGTGCGAGTGTTACGCCTATGGACCCCGTCACCATAACGCCGGAAGACGTGGATGAGGCGGTCCGTAGCGCCCCGAATTGGAAAAGTCCGGGGCTCGACGGGTTGCATCATCTGAAGCATGCATCTGAAGGGGTTCGTAGTGTGTCACGCTGTGCTCGCCCCACAGTTTCAAGAGGCTCTCGATCGGAAGTCGCTCCCGAGCCTCTTCACTACTGTGATCACTCACTTGGTTCCTAAAGATCAGTATACCACAGACCCGAGCAAATACCACCCCATCACGTATCTACCCACCATATATAAGACACTGACATCCATTTTGAGCGCGAGAATCACTCGTCACCTGGAGCTAAATTAGGCGATGTCACGCGCTCAAAATGGATGTCGGGGCGGTGGTCGTAGAACCAAGGAACCACTCCTCATTGAGGCGATCATTGGCAAAGTGGTGAAACGCAACCGTTGGAACTTCTCCGCCGCCTGGATAGACTACAGAAAGGCGTTCGACTCGGTGCCCCATACATGGCTAAAGAGGGTCCTGGAGCTGTACAAGATTGACTGTACAGTTCGAGACTTCCTCGGGCAGTGTATGGGGCAGTGGAGTACGATTCTTTGTCATCTAGGTGAGCGGATGACGGCTGCGGAAAGCCGCATAAGGATAAGAAGGGGTATCTTCCAGGGCGACTGTCTGAGTCCAATCTGGTTCTGCCTCTCTTTGAACCCTCTCAGTACTTTACTGGAGGGCTCCGGGAGGGGATTTCAGCTTCGGAAAGGAGGTACAAAAGTGACCCACTTATTCTACATGAATGACCTCAAGTTATTCGCCTCCAGTCGCTCCCATCTTATGGAATTTCTGAACATCACTGGTGAATTTAGCAATTCTATTGGAATGGAGCTGGGGACGGATAAGTGTGCGGTCCTCCATGTTGAAAGGGGAAGGGTTGCTAACTCTGAGGGCATAGACTTATCTATGTCCGTCAGTTTAAGGACCCTTTCTGAGGCTGGAACATACCGATACCTGGGTATGTTACAGAACATCGGTATCGATGAGGCTGGTATGAAACAGTCAGTTTGCGACGTGTTTTATGCACGCTTGACCAAAGTGCTTAACAGCCTTTTGTCCGGTGTGAATTAGACACACGCATATAACGGCTGGGTCATGCCTGTCCTCATGTATACCTTTAGCATACTCTGGTGGACTCAGACTGAACTTAACGCCCTGGATAGAAAAGTCCGCACAACCATGACGTCCCATAGGATGCATCATCCGAGATCGTCGGTAATGAGGCTGTACTTGCCGCGAAAGCATGGTGGACGTGGCTTACTGAGCACGCTCGCCATGCATAATCGCGAAGTGTGCAGCCTTCGCCAATATTTCCTGGCCAGATCGGATGATCCATTCTATAATGACGTAATTTCTAGTGGCTTACCCCTCTATCCTTAGCCAACGAGCAATGGCAGGAACCAGCAGTGTTTAGCATTTCCGACCGGGAGACCATATGGAAGAAGAAGGAGGAAGAAGGGAGGTACTACAGGGCTCTACATGAGCCCTTCGTAGATACAGTGGCCTCTCTCAACTGGCTACGTTTCAGTGACCTCTTCGGGGAAACGGGGAATTAAGACCAACAACTATCGAAGATACATCCTAAAGGATGGCACCGTCGACGTCTGCCGAACTTGTCGTCATCCCGGGGAGTCACTCAGGCACGTCATCTCCGGTTGTTCGGCGCTTTCTAACGCTGAGTACTTGCACAGGCACAACCTAGTAGCCAGAATTCTACACCAGGAGCTCGCTCTGAAATACGGTCTCGTGGACCGGAAATTGCCGTATTACAAGTACTTGCCGGAAGCCGTGCTCGTAAATGACCGTGCCAGGCTCTACTGGGACCGGGTCATCATCACGGACAGGACTATGCTTGCGAATAAGCCTGATATTGTGCTGATGGACCGGGCAGTCAAGAATATTTTTGGTCGACATTACCATTCCGTATGACGAGAACCTCGTGAAAGCCGAAACAGATAAGCGAACAAAAATCTGGACCTGGCTCACAAGATGACCGACATGTGGGGTGGTCGGCCGGCCGAAATTATTCCTGTAGTCGTCTCTGCGAATGGGCTAATCCAAGTCAGCCTCTCGGGTCATAAGAGGCGACTGGGACTCCGTGACGGACTGCTCCGGGCTCAAATGCAGAAGGCGGTGCTCCTCGATACTACCCGCATTGTCCGCCGGTTTCTTTCCCTTTCCCCCTAAACCTCGGCCGTTTGGTCTCCCCTGCCGAGGGCTTCCATCTGGTTGGGCTTTTATTTATTTTATTTTATTGTTATTTATGTATATATTGTCATTTTCGTTCGCAATTATATATTTATGGAACCCAACCAGATGAGAAAATTATAGATACCCCAAAATAATAATTAAACCAAATATTAATTAATTAAATAGTTTAAGAGTTTTGAGTAGCTGTGGGAGACAGGAGCCCAAACTAGGCTACCCTGTGCTATGGGTCTCCTGGCTCCCCCTCTTGGCTTTATTACATACTTTTCGATGATAATGTACTTAGACATGAAGTGAGCGTTGTATGTGGAGATCGAATATGAGATTTCCAAAGTGTAATTTACAATAAAAGTTTATATATATATATATATATATATATATATATATATATATATATATATATAAATGAATGAGGAAAGACTGACAAAGCAAATATATGTTGCAAAAGAGAATGGAAGAGTCGGAAAGGGACATCCTAGGCGAAAGTTTGTCGACCAAATTGGCGATATAGTAAAAATGGACCAAATTAAGAATACCCTTAACCGACGAGCATGTACTCGTATGCGTAGGTATATGGATGTGGAAGAGGCGAGAGAGGCATGTCAGGATCGTGTTAAATGGAAGTCTGTAGTATCTGCCTACCCCTCTGGGTGACAGGCGTGAGTGTTTACGGTATATATATATATATATATATATATATATATATATATATATATAGGGCACATAATTTTAATAAAAGCCTTATTTGCATATATTTTTTATTTAACTTCAGAGATCTCAAACACTTCATTGTGTTGTTTCAAGTTCTTTATATTACAAGAATCCAGCATATATTAATGGAATATTGATATTAACTTAACTTATTATACTTACTAAGAAATATATTAATCATATTTTACATACAAATTTAAAATTCCACCTGATGGTGACTACATCAGACGATGAACACCTGGCTGCAAGGTGCGGTGTCACCTTTGAACAAGATGGAATGCTTCACAGACTATAAATTAGGGATGTCGATTCTTTCCGAAACAGGTCGATTTTTAAATCGATTGAAATCGAAATCTGATGAATCGATTCACAAAAAAATCGAGGTGTAAAAGATCGATTTCACAAAAATAGACCTTATTTCGATTTTTACAAAGTACAGATTACAAACGTAATTTATATTTTTATTTCATTAATCCATTTTGAGAAGAGGCGTAAGAAACTGAGCACACGTTTTTTACGAGTTTGGGTACATTCAACTAATTGTATATAATTTTTTTAATTTGTATATATAATTGTATATTAAAATCTTTTTGGCACAAGAAATCGATTCTTCGATTAATCGATCTCAGATCTACATGACTACTGTAAATCTGCTGGTTCTCTATATTCTTCAGACCAGAATACAGCAGAAAAAACACTACTATATTGCGGCAGATATAGGTAAGAGGAAGTTCTACCATCTAATTCAAATATTTCCGCATTAAATTGTCGATAAAATTATGAAACATCACATGTATGGGTCCAACCCATATGAGTTAAAGAGGGCATAGTGAACACCCTATTGCATTTCAGACACATCCAATCGGGTTCTTCATTATGGTCGTCACTAAAATGTTTTAAAATATTCCACACAAAATTCGCCCCTGTAAACGTCAAATGACAGTTCGTGCAAATTATTTTTATAGCGTTCTCAAACGATACATCCATGTTAGCGTTTTTACCACAGGTTCTTAATTGAAATTGACACATTGGTGAAACAATTTCTTCCAATTGCAAATCGAATTTTACAGCCCCCTCATTGTTCTCATTATTCGGTACATCTTGGTACAAATATCTAATATATTTAGTCTTGCTTATATACCTTCTAAAATCACATGGTATACTTAATGTTTTTGGCATACTCTTAAAATCATTTAGTAAAATGTTCTTTAAAATATCTAAAACCGACCGCCATTTAGAATTTTTATCGAATTTTAGTACTTTCTCAAAATATTCTAAAATTTGTTCTCTTAAAATTTGTGTGCGGTTTATTTTTCGAGATTTCACCAGTATCTGTTCATTGAGGTCGGCAGTTTTGCGCGTATTCGAAGCGAGTTCTTTATTAACTAGTGCGTGTTTCAGTCTGTGCACATTTCGACGTCTGTAGATTATAAATTTATTATCAGCCTTAACACTTATTTCTATCGCCACCTCCCACCAGTTTACAATAGACTCGAGGGTGAGCATTTTTGAATTGTGCAGCCCTAATTTAAAATCTCTAGTTACATTAAATATGTTATTGTGCAACGGTTGGCGGTAAAACAGACAGTTCAACTGTTGCCTCGTTGCTTCCACTTCCATTTCTACACCATTATTATCGTCATGTTGTTCTTTCATTTTTATCTCATTAATTTTACTTTTTGCTAATTCTTGGGCCGCATTTAACATTCCACGTAAATATTCTTTTATATTAATATATTTCTCTTTTAGTATCTTTGATATTCCGACGCTGTCATTTGTTTCTTTTAATTTTATAACTGCTTGTTCAAATTGATCCCACTCTGGCCAATTCTTGATGAATTTCTTTAAAACATTTAAGTAAACTTCTACTTCGAATTTGTGTAGCGTATTAGTATCCATAGAAAACTCTTTTTCTAATATTTCAATAAGTTGGGCGTCAGTCACCACAGTGTTTTGCGTTATATTGTGTGTAACAAGACTTCTGAAAAGGTCAATGATAGGTGCTTCTGAAAAGAAAATGATATAAAATTATTTCACAAAATAAAGTACAGGCCACATACCACCTTTTATATTATAGATTAAGCATTCTGCTGAGCACAGACCACCTTTCATTTTATAGATTAAGCATTATGAAACTAATTTTACGGATTTTATCGCGTTTAATTTTAATTTTTTTAATTCCCGACGTTTCGTGTGCTTTACAGCACCAATGGTCACGAGGTTAGGGAGGTGGAGGGAGGGGGGTGATGGTGGAGGGAGCATTCTCGCGAATCTCACAATCACAATCTCACTTCACGTGAAGCACCGATGCTCCGGGAAGTCTGCAGTCTGTAAACATGTTCAAGATCGTCCCCGCCATTACATTAGATTTGATAGACCACAAATCCTCGCAAAAGGAAACCGATTTACCAAGGATGATTCGCGAGGCTATTGAAATTAAAAAATATACTGTTTCAATAAAGAATATGGATGGGTTTTGCCATCATATAATTAATAAAATTAAATCCAAACCCTAGCATACACCACTACGAGCTCTGCTCAGTGGTTTGGTGAAAAATTCGTTACGTTATGAACTGTCAGTACACTGCCGCAGTACCCTATGGAAATATATAATCGTCACATGTCATAAATCGCTGCCATTTTTGTCCTGTGAGCACTGGCGCCTCCGAGATAAGGTGCACTCTGTACTTTGATCACGTGATCACAAAACATGACAGCGCCTAGAGATTTAACAGCTTCCACGATTGTAAATATTACAAATTTATATTGTTATTCAAATAAACTCGGACAGTACGTTCTAAAAGCAACAATATACAAATAATAATTTTTCTTCTTAAACAGAAAATGTCATGATAAATATTTTCATTTGAAACAAGTGTCGAAAAATGGGGATGCCAGTATATTGGACTGCGTTCCGTTTTAAACAGTAACCAGGATAGCAAACTAAAAAGTAACGCTTTCACAGTAAACTGAATTGACGTCACCCTTTACAGTGGTCATAGTGTATATCGGAACACACCCTCATTCTGCGTAGATCCGACCAAAAATTAATACTCTAAAACTGAAGGTAGGCGGGCTAACTATGAAATCGGGATATTAAACACCTCAGTCCCCCCACCCCGTGACCGTGGGTGCTGTAAAGTATCCGAAACGTCGGGAGTTAAAAAAAAACATATAATTAGTGTCATTAAACGTGAAGTGTTCGCGTAAATATGAGAAGTCATTAGGCATCAATAATTTTAAACATGAATGAGGTATTATTTGATTACTGGCTTTGAAAGTCGCTCTTGATTTTTTTTCTGTATGCAGTGTTTATGTGTACGTATTTATGTATGTGTAAAATAAGGTTCTCGAGTTCTCGGACCCCTGCTATATGAATTAACGACCTGGTAAGAGATACAGGAAATTGATGGAAGCAGGTGTCTGTTATAGTTTCCGAACGTTCTAATCTGTTAAAGTTTCCGAACGTTCTAGGAATGACGTATTTCGCTGTCAGATTTTTGTATGTTGTTCATTTACGAGATTAAAGAAAAGCTCCACGTGCTCAGTTGTTTAATTGTTAATCACTTGCATTTATTAGGTATTTAATAGTGTCTCGAAAACATATTTTGTGGCATTTCCTTGGGGTAAACCTATGTTTAGAAGTGAACTGGATGATAACGATGATGATAGTTATCATGATTAATATATGGAAAACCCGCGTTACGGAAGGAAGTGTACAAGCGGTACTGAAGAGAAAATCACAGAACCACAGAATAAATAACCATACTGCGTACAGAAGTTGCACTTCTTTGATGTTCACTACTTACCGACGTTTTGATAAACTACATAATAATTATTAATAAGATAAATCACGCACGAAGTCCGTATGGCCTTTCATTCTGTTACCAAGGGGTTTCAACGAAGAGTAAAAAAAATACAGAACGTATAGTTATTTAGTTTAAATTTACTATATAAATAACTTTGAATTATTATTTATTTAGTCTACCATTATTATACTTAAATTATACACCAAATTTATAGTTCTATCCACTCTTTAATATAATAACGGCTATTTTAGAGACTTTAAACTATGTAAGATACCTATCATATTAAAGGTAATACACAGGAGGTAAAACATGAACACGAGGAGTGATAAAATTAATATTCGTTTATAAATATAGTAATCTTTTTTGTGCAGTTTTTTTTTATTATTATAATTTAAAAATTGTAATTAAATATATTTTCTATACTTAATATACATGTAAATTATACTAAAACTTTCACTAGCGCTAACCCTGATTGCATGTTGTAACCTGAGGTTTCGCGCGATTGTAGGTATTTACGTCACGCAGGTAGCAAGAGTGACAGAGGCTGGACGAAACACGGTGACAAATTTGGAGGGGATGATGATCTGCAATCCTTCTTAAATAAATTGTTTTATTTTCCAGGTATTGCACAGCCGATACCGTGTGTTGTCCTCCAGGCTACACCATTCAAGAGTCTGATCACGATTACAAAACTCAAACTGATGCCGACTTCGATTTTGACGACGATGATTGATTTTTGTAAACAATTAAATAATTTATTATTTATAAACAATTATAATTTTTTTTGGTTTCATTTTTTACATTAACCTATGCCTTATGCTAAGGTAAAGTCTTACACCTTATTTCATTCTGTGGCTGTCATTTGAGACTATTTTACACTGTCGCAGTAGGCATTAAGGCAATGGTTGCAGTATTTTTGAAATCTATTGAACCTCTGTGAATCTACTTAAATGTAATTTTATACGTATAGACAAGGGTTGTGTGAAGTCAGAAACGGGAATCATTCTAGTTATACATATTAAAGGTGACACTAAATCACTATTTAAATGTGTATCTATCTGGTAGATTTCCTAACTAATTTGTGTAAACTTATATCAAATAAAAAGGCTTATCATTTTTTTCGTCACGTTCGGAACACATTTTACAAATTAGTTTTTATTTTTATGTTATGAAAAAAAAAGTAAACAAAATTGAAAAGTCGCGAAAAAGGACTCGCGGTCCTTGAACCTAGTCAGTGTCCGCTGTGATATCTTTGAGGTGAGACCTAAGTTGTTTTTTTTTTCTAAAATTCTCCACACCCAGTTCAGAAATTCATGAGTTTCGGATACTGAAATGAACTGATTGAATATACAATTTACCAAGATCAACAGTTATAACATCTGCCATATTAAATCTGAATTGCTTGACTAGAAAATAATATTCCAACGTGAGGAAATAGGCCGCAAAATTTCTTTTACTCAGTTCTTCGTAGTTCTTTTAGATGTTCAGTTTCTGAAACAAATTAACCATATTCAAAATAGAGATGGTGGTGCGATTCAATCTTAAAAATTAGTTTTAGAATTGATACCATTGTTTGCGAGATATAAAAAATTCACTAGCATGCAAACATAATCATCATTGTCATTAGTCTATCAACTCTACTTCTGAACACAGGTCTCCCCCATAAATCGTTTCCCTGCGTAGGATTTTTGCCATAGTTGCCACCCTTGGCAGTCAAGGTGGCAACTGCAGATTTTCATTATTATAAGTTGTCAGCAGTATAACCCATTTCTTGTTTCAGTTTTTCTCTGCTGCTTCTTACATCACCCAGTTTTATGTGGGTAGATCAGCTTTTCCCAAAATTTATTAACACCATACCCATAAAATATTCTATAATGATTGCCACAGACCTCTAAGTAATACAACACCAACACAAGTTGTGCACACAATATCATTCACATATACTCTTACATACATTCTCATAGTCCCTGCATTATCAAAAAGTCCCTACTTAACTAACGACACCGTATAAAAAGTACAACGATAAAAAGTATATCATCATGTTTTAACCTTTTCAACGCCCCGTCAAATACAAGTCCTCACTCTGACGACAAGCCCATCTGTTGTAATTAAACAAATAAAATAAAGCTGTGCTGGCAAAAAAAGGCTGTACTAGTAGTATCGAATTTTGAATTTAATACTTACTTAAACTTTATTAGTGAGGTAGTAAAATAGGTGAGACAGTAAAAAACAAAACCTATATTGTAACATTTAAAATTATATATTCCACGAAAAAAAAAACTTAAAGGGTATCCTACCCTATCTTAAAATAATCTTAAATTTGCAAAAAATAAACTGCTAATTTTACAAAGGAAGTCGAAATCAAAGCTACAATCAACAAGACAAGTAAAACTGTAGCCGTTTTATTTCTAATCTAAAATTCTATGTATCATCAAATCTGAAGGTACTTTGTCTTCAATTACAGAAATCAATTTGCCCTTAAGAGCGCGTCGACCAAACGGAGCGGGCGATAGTTAAAGTTGGGCGTTATAACATACAACAGATAATATATTTCAATATATATTTATAATCTTACAACACATTAGAATAATCAACCATTGACTGTTATAATATATTCATTATCGTTGGAAAGCACCATCTAACAAAAGTAACAGTAACAACTATCATTTGTGTTTAGTTTACGGTCTAACCATCGTCGGCCGAGAAGCAGCACAAGGATCGTGTATGGTTCACATTAATTTAAACTCTAAGGCAACACTCTTAGAGTTTATTTTACAAACACTAAAGTATAAAGATAAATCTATTTGCTTGTATTTCGTTTATTGCTAGCTGTTGTTTTGTCTGTTGTTTAATTTTTTGGCTGTTATAATATAGTGTTCAGTTAGCCGTCTAGCTGAGATGACAATGACACTGTTATCTGTTATATACGTAATGTTTTGGTTGCAGGTGCTTCATATTACGTGACGAATTTATTGTTGTTTTTCGTGAAGTTTTATATCTAAAGTAATTGTAAACATTTAGTGTTATTACACTAATTATTTACAATTACTTTATATATATTTATATACATAGGATTTTGCATGTTGTATATAAAAGTGCATAATAATGTCACGCAGTTAAAATCTCAAACAAAATGTAGCAGTACAGAACAGCAATGAACTTCTAACTACGCCTGAATGAGTTATTTTTTACTTAGAATGTTTGAAAATATGAGTATATAATTATACAGCTTAACATACATTCAGACAATCTTATGCCTATAAAAAGTTGGAAGGAAAGTTCATTGAATTTATCCTTCCAGTGAGCATACAGAGCAGACGTGTTGCAAAGTAATTTAATAATTCGTTAATTTTAGTGAAGCAAAATCCAACCATCGCGCTTAAACATTAAAAACTACTTTGGCATCACTCAAGCTAGAACTGAATTACTAATTATACCAAAAACGTGCGCAACGGGCAGCAGCTCCCTTCCTCACACCCGCGGGTAAGCAGCACAGTTGCATTTTTTCATCTCTTACACCCACAAAACTCATTGCGTGTATTTAACACCTATCTTTGCGTGTATTTAACCTTATTGACAGTAAATAAGCAACATTTTCCATTAACAACGAGCGTAATGGGATCCCCAACAAAAACAAGCGGTTCACAGCCAGATCTAACCAAACTGCGTGACTCAGAAACTAAACAAACTACAGTGCGTAAGCGTAAACAACCAGATACGGACTGCAGTTGCGTCAAAAATATTACAGATTTAAAGGGTGACATTAATAAGTTATTGAATGAATTTGTACAATCTCAAAATGCACATATGATTTTATTGCGCGAGGATGTTGCTCAGATTAAAACCCAAATGGCAAACATACGAATCACTACGGAATACCTAGTTACAGAACACAGTAAAATATTAGATGAGATAAACGATTTAAAAATGAAAAAACCCTAACTGAGCAAAAAATTAAAACCCTTGAAAATTAAATAGATACTTTGAAAAGAGAGGCATGTACAGAACCTATCAATTTACTACCGATAAACCTACGTGAAAACCTTATACGTGAAGCTAATGAGAGAACTAACAGAGAGAAAAATATTATAATCGTTGGTGTTCCCGAATTGCATGGATCAGTTAGGGAAGAAAGGCGTTTACACGATGAAAAGGAAGCCTTCAATATTATTAGCGAAATCACGAAAACTATTCACACTCCAATAAAAACATCACGGATCGGAAAATACAAAATAAATAATAAGCGTTCGATGAAAGTCTACCTGGGTTCATCAGTGACCGCAAAAGAAATACTGAGAAATAAAAATAAAATAACAAACAAAAATATAAAAATATTTTCGGACCAGACCCCCTCGCAACAATTGTACATGAAGGAGCTTAAAAATAATCTACTTAAACGGCAACAGAATGGCGAATCCAACCTTATAATAAAATAAAATACATCAACGGATATCCAAAAATTGTTTCATCTTCAAAAAACTAAAAGTCCCACTACAATGTCTACAACCTACCCTACTTAATAATAAAAAACATGAACAAAATAACACATACGAAATAATAGACACATATGATAATATCAAAACACTACGTACTTCTCTGAACTTTTTCTACTCCAACATTAGAAACATTATTCGACTTGGTAAGCTCGACGAACTAGAATGCATTATTAAATCCATTGCTACGCCAATATACTTAATTTTACTAACTGAAACATGGATAAAAACAGAACAAAAAGCAAATAGAATACAAATTCCTAACTATACTCATTATTATAACTACAGAGTAGCTACCAGAGGAGGTGAAGTTTCCATTTTCATACATAAATATAAAGCATAGCCTAAGTGAGCATAAATATGCTCACAATAACAATTACTTATGGATTACACTCAACAAACTTAAAATAGATGTCGGACTTGTATATATAATATTAATGATTTTCTACAAGATTTTGAATCACAATTATTACACAGAAAGAGAGCTGTTGTGTTCGGTGACTTCAATCTAGATTTACTTACGGTTGACAAAAACACGAAGAGATTTATGAATGTAATATGCGAATCTGGTTACACTATTTTAAATAAAGTGGAAAAAGAATACGCTACTCGTACAACAGCAACCACAAATACTATTTTAGATCATGTGATTTCAAACCTAAGAGACAGAAGCTTTCACTTAGCTATACATGATTCGTCAATATCAGACCATAAACAAATTTTTGTAGGAATAAAGAAATTTAAACCAGTTCCACCACAACGAGTAAAATATGAAGCTATTAATTATGATCTTTTGTACAAATATAGTGAGGAAGAGTTTTGTGACACTAGAAATGATAGCAAGGAGTTTTACAATCTTAATAAATCAATAAAAAAAAGTTATAACTAAAAGTAAAATCAGTAAAATAAAAATACAAAACCCACCCCAAAATGATTGGATAAATATCAAAATTATTAATAGCATACATTCTAGAAATAAACTTTGGCAAAAAACTTAAAAAAATGCTCGTATAATGAAAAAGAAAAGCTCATAAAGCTACATAAAAAAGCAAGAAATGAAGTAACAACACTCATAACTAAAACAAAAAGTGAGTACTACTATAATTCATTTAATATCTGTAAAAATAACCCTTAAAAAATGTGGAGGCTTATTGAAACCCTAACAAAAAATAAAATAAAAACGGATAATATTCCTCCAAAACTAAATACTCTTTTAGGAGAAATAACAGATGGAAATCGTATTTGTGAAGAATTTAATTTATTTTTCGCAAAAATTGGATCGGTCTTAGCTAACGAGATAACACAGACTTTTTCGGAGGTAAATAATTCATAAATTTTTAGTAACAAACATAAAAATGCAATTAATGAACTATCAAATTTCCAAAAATGTGACGAATATGAAGTGGCTAAAATAATTGACCAACTAGACCCTAATACGAGCTCGGGAATAGATGGCATTACAACAAAGGTAGTCAAGTGTATTAAGGACTTAATTCTTAGAAGGCTTACTTCTTGTATAAATGATTGTCTCGAAAGCGGAATATTTCCAGATGAACTGAAAATAGCTAAAGTCACACCTATATACAAATCAGGTACGAAAAGTGACCCCAGTAACTACCGTCCAATCTCTGTCTTACCAGTAGTTTCCAAAATTTTTGAAAAAGTAATATATAACCGCTTAAATATATACCTAACATCAATTAACTTTATTTCAAACAGTCAATATGGTTTCCAGCCTAGGTTAAATACCTTAGCCGCAACGGTAGATTTAATTACCAAAATAAAAAAAAACATTGATGCAAAAAACTTAGGGCTTGGAATTTTTATTGACCTAAAAAAAGGCCTTTGATTCAATAAGTCACTCACTACTATTAAAGAAACTTTCTCATATAG